AAATGGCGGACTGCGTTGTTTGGCGACCCCCGTGAAATGGTCGTTCGACCCCAAATGGGGTCCCGACCCACAGGTTAGGAACCACTGCTCTATAAGTAAATATTTCTGAAATGATGACCCAATAAAGCACATGTTATCTAGTATTTCCTATTTATGCTTTTAAGTGGGGGTAGTTTGTGAGATCACCATTCTACTTAGTATTACTGTTCTGAATAATCATTATTCAGCCATCTTGAATATTACTCCCTTTATTGAAATATGCAAAGTATCTAAATCTAAGCTCAACATAAGAATGATTAGGGTTGTCTTTAGATCTAAATTTAAAATGAGAATAGCAATATCACTTAGGGTTATATACCACTTTATAGTGCTTTACAGCCCTCTTTAAGAATTTACATAGTCAACATATTGTCCCCAACAATCTGGGTTCTCATTTTATTGACTTCGGAAGGATGGATGATGAGAGTTGTTCTAGAGATCCTTTCATTAGTATTAGAGCTGAAATGAAAAATAGATTCAAAATCTGTTTAGCTATGAATCTCACTATAAGATACAGTACAGGTTACTTACTAAATCTTAATCTAACATTTCTCAGAAAAATGCGAAGTGTATATGCCTACTAAGATCTTTGAAGACTGGGTAAGATCAGAATGTAATACCATAAATATAATACTTGTTTTTTACACCCACACAGTAAATCAGTATTACTGATTACAGAATGTGATTTTCAATTTGTTCATGCAGGAAACAGTTACCTCTGCAACCAATTCCTTGTTTATTCTAGCACCACGTCTCAGTAACCATAGAGCTTTTCTGTGTACTCTTTACAGTTTCCTGAAGATTAGCACAGAAGGAGCGCTAGTTTTCAGGTGCAAAACTACTGAAGGGAAGGTAATGTAATAATGTGAGAGTGCAAGGTTTAAGATAGGAGGGGTTCCCTTTTTGTGACAGATCAAAAGATGTAACTCGGATAAGGTGGGATTTTACAAAAAGGATGTGTATGACAAAGACTGTCTCTGTGACTCTGGCTAGTTCCTACTTTTAAGCATGGCTAATAGGGCTACAGGTAGTCCTCGACTTATGACCACAATGGAACCCAAATTTCTGTTGCTAAGTGAGACACTTGTTAATTTTGTCCCGTTTTATGACCTTTCTTGCCACAGTTAAGTGAATCACTGCAGGTGTCAGGTTAGTAACACGTCTGTTAAGTGAATCTGGCTTCCCCATTGATTTTGCTTGTCAGAAAATCACAAAAGGTGATCACATGATTCTGGGACACTGCAGTCATCATAAATATGAATCAGTTGCCCAGTATCTGAATTTTGATCACGTGACTGTGGGGAAGCTGCAATGGTCGTAAGGGTGAAAAATAGTCATAAGTCACTTTTTTCAGTGCCGTTGTAACTTTGAATGGACACAAAATGAACTATTATAAGTCAAGGACCACTTGTATGTCTTCCTTTAAGAAGCTATACGGTTAATCTATCTTTTTTCACATTGGGAATTTCAATGTCCCATCTAATGTAGGATACAGTATACTGTACATTAGGAAGTACTTTTGATACAAATTTTAATATATATGAGATTATATGTTAGTAGCTCTCTGAAAAATTTGTAATATTGAAAGTATATTTTTACAGTATAAGATGAAGTGGCAGGGACCATGATTCCAGAAGTTAAAATTTTGAGCCTATATTAGATAAATGGTCTTTTAACCTTTGCTATGTCACTTTTCAAACTGCTATGACACTTTGATCTTAAAATCTTGTAGATGCAAAGTGCCCTATAACTAGGAAACTTGGATACATAGCTTCAGGTAGTCCAAGTTTAGAAACTTCAATTGGGACTAGCAATTCTGTTGCTAAGCATTGCAGTTGCTAAGTAAAACATTACATCACCACGATGAGCTTATGATCTCATTTCTCCTTTGGTTGTTAAGTGAATTCCCAGAATCATTAATGAAACACTACGTGACCATGATTTACAATTTTACTTTTACCTTCTCTATTAATTCTGCTTGTAGCAAGCCAATTGCAAAACCCTTGAATAGTGAGCAGGTGACAGAGAGATACTACAACATTTGCAAATACAAAGATTGACAAAAAAACCTCTATTTTTTATACTATTGTAACTTTGAACAATTGTTAAATGTGGCAGTTGATAAGTGAGGACTATCTATAGAATGTATTGTTTTGACAGTGTCTTACATCTGGGCTTTCACAACTGGGTGATCTTTGGTTGCTGGACTATATGGGTTTTTAGTTCAACTAGAACAATTTTTCTTACGTTCCATGAACTGTAACATGTAGGACAGAGTATCATATGAGATGCTGGAGACCTTGAACAGACCTTACAAATTAAACAACATTAACAAACAAATAAGATTTAGTTCACAATTCATACTGTATTGAAACTTTTCAAGTGTTGAAGGAAAAGTCTTCATCATGGTTCAGTCCAAGCTGGGAATAAACAACATGGCGACTGCTTTAGAAAGAAGGTTGCAGTTTATTGAAGAGGAGAGCCAGACAGGAAGATGGCTCTGGAAGAAAAGAGAGTGAGCACATGTAGGGAGTGGGTTTTTATACCCTCTGGAGCCTTTTGTCTGGAGTTGTTCCTGTGGCATAAACTTTGACCTGAGTTTGAGTGTGCCCTTTGGCATCTGTGGATTAATCCTATTATGTCCGGTCTTAGAGTTTGGGTGGAGTATGTAGATTTTAGGTGTCTTTGTCTTCCTAAGCTTCTAGCTGGGGGCCTCCAACCTTCCTGGATTATTTACATCTGCATTTCTACAGAGCTGGTTTCTGCTTGGGGAGGGAGTCTTGGGGCTCTTAAGAAAAACTGGGCATGCTTTTCTGCCTCTATAATATTTCCTTCTCTTTCCACACAAGCGTTATGTTTAGGTTTTCATAGGGTCCCTTTGTAAGTGAGATGGGCAGTTTCTAAATTTGATAAATAAATAAATAAAAATCAGGTTAGAAATAAAAATATAAAATATGTAAATGAAATGGAATTTCTAAAGAATACCTTGGCCTGAAGTTCTAGAGCTCCTAATTAAAAATTAACTAAATATCCAGTTATGCAGGTACATTATTTTGATAAGAGAACAACAATTACAAGAATTATGCTTAAAAATACAAATGCACTTATTAAATCTATACAGCACATTGCAAATGCTTGATAAAAACATCCACCTGAGCACTCTTGCCCATTTTAACATCCCTGAAACAATCACAATCAGATAATAATGCAAACTTTCCATGAATAAATGTTTCACTTGCAGGCTAGGTAGTCTTTCTGGTTACTAGAGGGACTGCTTGTCTCCCATAACATCTGTCCAAGCATGTTCCAGAATCCTCTGATTAAACAATGTCATGTCTCCGGATCCAGGAAGTATACTTTCTCTGCAGATGGCTCCCACTGTGATTTTGTTTAGAATTGTTGTGAAGACCTGGCTCTTCATCCAGGCCTTTGCCAAGGAAGTGAGGCCCCCAGCACTTGACATTTTGTTGATTTTAATACTATTTGATTGCTGCAAGCCACCCAAAATCATTAATACTTGGGGGATAGCATGATTTATTTATTTATTTATTATTACAAATGAAGAGAAAAGCAAATCATTAGAAAGACTCATTTGTAAGTCTTCTATATGTTTCAGCATTCTTTCCTCTTTCAACTCTTTCCCATTGATAGAGTCAAATAATTCTGACAAATACTGATTCTTAAGAGTAAAGGGTTAAGCAATCCATATTTCTTCTTCATACAATATTCTAACAATTAAGCACTGACTGAGTTTTTAGTGAAGATCATGACATTAACAAAATGCCAAAGAGTTAAGAGTGCAGGTGAAAAATAAAAGTCATTAAAATAATTTAGTTCAAAGTTTATACTACCTATTCAATTTGAAAGTTTTGGTCCTGAATGTTCTCTCTTCATTATCACTTTAGACTTTGAGGTTCATTAAAAAAAATTAATCAAAGTTCAAACATCAAAACATCCTCATTTAGAATGATGTGTATCTTGAGATGCAATGTAGGAAAAATCAGTAGTTTTTGGCATGTTCAGTTAATTAACCTCGTTTTCAGTTTGGACTAATTAATAGCAAGGTGGTTTCGTTCTCCTGCAATATAGTCTCCAGCTTCTCCTTTGCTAATATAGAATACGATTAAGAGTTCTGTTATGCCTCCCTTTTGCCAAAAACCTGTTTCTCGATTCCTATGAAAAAGTGACTACAGAATGAGGATATTTTGACTGATTGTGAAAAGGGTCACTTAATCTCAATTCAGTGGTTTTTATCACGATGCAAATGTTTGATAAATATATTATAACAATCTTTAGTTTGGTGTCAAACATTAAAAAAAATAATCAAGGATTGCAAACTGAGTTTTTTGGGATTTGAGAGACAAATTATTATTTCACTGCACTGCTTAATATGAAACATCTGGAATCAGATCAAGGATTTAAACGGTTTCCCCAATGCCTTCTTCAGAAACTGACTGGTCCCTGAAGCCTGCACATATGAAATTATTTCTGGGCTAGGCCAACCACTGAATTCCAGAATTCTTTGAAATCAGGTCTTCTCAAAAGGTTGCAAGAAACCAAGGAACGTTCAGCAAGCAATATTCCTATTTTATACATTCCTGCTATCTCGCGTAGTTTCTTGCTGCCCTTTGATGTATACAACAGCCTCTAAAAACAGACACATCAAAATACCGATGCGGGAACCTTCATAACGATGTGAAACATCCTTCCTCTCGCTAAAAATAACCTTCGACTGTTCGATTGTCTCCTCACTCGGTTGTTTCCTGAAACAGGAAGGCAACTCGGAACTGCAAAACGGGACAACTCTGACTCAGAAACTCCCAAGCGGAGTTTTCTCGTGATAAAGACTCGATTCTTTATCTAAACGCTCCACTTCCCTCCATTTGGCATTCCGGCCAACTGTAGATGGCGACGAATTTCTGGGTACACCCCTCCTCCCTTTCTCCCACCCCGCCCAAAGATCAATCTGTGAGCTGCGCGCCTAATTGGGCCGTTACGTTGTTATGGCAACTGGACGCCGGCGCGGCCTTGTAGACTGGAGTAAGCTCTGAAGGCGGATGCTCATGGAGCCGGGGATAGGTGAGGGAGAAGGGAACGGGAAAGAGGGAGCCGGATGACAGAGAAGGAGGTAAACGGGGGAGAGCCCCTTGGGGCAGAGAGAGGGAGCGGAGGACTGTCCTGGAGACCCAGAAAGAGAAGCCCCGAAGGCTTCTTGGAAAGTTGAGCACGGAAACTTGGAGCTAATGCAGCCCAATGTTGCTGAGCCGCGTTCAGAAGGGGCACGTGCATAGTGTGTAGATCCCCAGTGCCAACTTCTCTCCAGAAAGGAAAAAAAATTACACACCGTATGGAAAAGGAGAGAGCCCAGCTTTTACTGGAAGGGTATAAAAGGGAGACTAGTGTACAGGTAGTCCTGGACTTAGGAGCACAGTTGAATCCAAAATTTCTGTTGTTACTTGTTAAGTGAGTTTTGCCCCATGTTACGACCTTTTTGCCACTGTTGTTAAGTGAATCCCTGCAGTCGATAAGTTAGTAACTCAGTTGTTAAGTGAATCTGGCTGCCCCATTGACTTTGCTTGTCAGAAGGGCACAAAACGGGATTACACAACCCTGGGACAAAGCAATGGTCATAAATATGAACCAGTTGCCAGGCATTTGCATTTTGACCACATGATCGTGGGGATGCTGCATAGGTCATGTCTGTGAAAAACGGTCATACGTCACATTTTTCAGAGCCATTGTAACTTTGAACGGTCACTAAATGAACTGTTGTAAGTCAAGGACTACCTGTATTGTATTCCTTTGGGAATAGGAGACCTTGGAATGGGTGCAAAATTTGTGCTTTAAGAAGAAAGGACAGGAGGAGGAAGGACTGGTACAAATTGTCATCTTTTTTTCTTCCTTCTCTCTCTGGTAAGGTTTTGTTTGCAATCCATATGGAGGTGCAGTGAGAATCAAATGGGATTCTGTCAGTGAAAAGGTGGCAATCCTCTGAAGTCATAACCCTGTAGGATGCTTGGATCCTGTGTGCCTTGACTTTAATATTCCAGATCCAGAACAGTAGAACAAGCAATTATTTGCCCCATGTGTACCTTGATGTATAGGAATGTTTTAGCTCCAAATGGATCTCCATTCTGAAATAGAAGATACAATGTTAAGAAAAGCGGGCTTGTTGATTTAAACTGAAACACTGGGTCAAGTTGAAGTGAGGAAGAAGCAGAGCCTGATGTTATTTCATGGATCCCAGGAACAAGAAGAATATGATAGTGTTGGTTTAAGGAGAAGCATTCAGAATAAGAGTCCAGTAAAACAGGAGTATTTTTCTTAGAATGAGAAAATAGAAAATGTGCGGAAATTGCATGATGGAATTGTAAGGAACAGATATTCAGGTTATATTGGGGAATAGATGGGCATTAGTGCTGAAATCCTATAGTATAAGGAATTGGAGAAACTTTTAAAGAGTTTTTGCAAAGATCATTTTCTTAACAGTTGAATGATATATAACGTTCTAACATAACTTTACAATCAACGGGTAGAGGACGTTTGAATTCTGTTAATTTTTCTTGGAAAGATTATTAACAAAAAATAGCCATTAAAGTAATTTGAGAAAATTGAAATTTTAAATTTTTTTGATAATGTGCCTTTGAAACTTAGAAATGTAATTCTTTGCTGGAGATGTGCACTTGCCCTAGTAGTATCTGTAAATGTCTTTCTGGTTTTCTCTGTTAAAATTTGCAGTTTCAGAAATGTTTTCTATCAAATAAACACATACATACATACATACATAACTAACATACATACATACGTACATACATATATAAAATAAATATGCCTCCCATCTTCCCAATAAGGCAACCCTGGTGATTTACAGGTCATAAAAAGATAGAAAAGCAATTAACAATTTAAAACTATGCAAATTAAAAATTTTAAACTATGCAAAAAAAACCCCGAGAAGTAGATGACACAGGGATGGGATCTTATCCTGTTAACCATCTCTGGTGGAGAGCACCCCCTTAGAGGCCGCAAGCCAATTGGCAAAACCAAATTCTAATACCCTTCTGGGAGGCCAAAAGGGTGGGAGCAGTTTTTACATCCAGTAATAGAGTGTTCCACATCCCCGTGCATCAACAATACTTGACCGCTCATTCTATTACTGTAGCACAACCAACACAAGGTATGACAAGAATGACTATCATACACCCAAAACATCTCAGAAACAACCAACAGACTATTATAACCATATGACATCATTGTAGCACACAAACCAATTAAAGACCTCCAAAACATCTTACTGTAAACCAAAAGACCCAGCAGCCCAAGAATTAAAAACACTTTGTACAACATATGGTTGTAGAGACTGTAAAGCCACCATGTAGGAGAGACAGGAAGAAGACTAGCAGAGCACATCCATGAATACAGTTAGCAGTAATGAAAACTTAATCTCAGAACATATGAACAGACTCAACCATAATTTCAGCTAGGGAACTGTGGGTAATCTAGGCCAAGCCAAACCCCCAAACATTAGAGAATTCCTGGATGTGTAGCATTCAGACAAATAAGCTATCAATAGAGCATAGAAATAAACCATATTAAAACACTATTCAAAAGAGATAACAGGAAGCCAAGAAGGAAACAAAAAGACCAGAAAACATATCCTGTAGCAATCAGCACCCAGATAAGCAAGGATTAACACCAGGCAAAAAATTCAAGTAGAACAGAGGTCCCCAACCTTTGGGGCACCAGGGACTGGTTACGTGGAGATAGGTTCTTCCGTGGACCGGAGGGGCGTGGTTTTGTGTGTTACCTGCATCCCATGGATGAGGTTTTGCTTCTTTGTGTGGCCCGGTTGCTGGCATGCTGTGGCCCTGTACCGGTCCACAGACCGGGGGTTGGGGAGCCTGGAAGTGGAAAATAAAACCTTAATGAAGGAACTACCAAGGAGAAAACTATGTTCCCATCAACCCTGTTCAAGCTATTGAACATAAACAGGGAGCAAACCCATACTAGCACTTATATGTTCTGTAATAATAAAACATTTGAATAATAAAACATTTACAAGAAAACAATTTCAGAGAGCACCAAAGATTCCACTTTTATAAATGACTCCATACTGGGGGCATTTGCAGAGCTTTGTATGAATTATAATTACCCACTAGAGCAGAAGTCTGTTTAGAATACCTATGACATGCTTTTAAATATGTCTACAAGCAGGATAAAGTGGGAAATACCTGTCTCAAAATAATCAAGAGAAATACAATAGAGGGAGTGAATAATATGTTAAATCATAAGACTAGGTTATGGTGATTGGGTTCTGTGACTCACGCTGATATCATAGTGGCAGGCCATATATATACTGTAGATATATGTAGAGTACTCTATATAGAGAGAGTAGATTTCTCAATTCTGGGAACATGATGGTTATTCCATGTAAGTAGTGCTCTACCAGCATTCAAAGAGTTTAAAGGTTATCTTTCAGTTGTTACCCCTATTACAAGATGGAGGAACAGTGAAATATTAATGTCTTTGTCTCCTTTTGGTTACATTTGCTATGTCACCTCTTTATTTTTGCTTCATGAGTTTTACTTTCCCTCAGGACAAGATAAAGGAGATCCTGAATTAAGTAATTCTTCTTAAAATAATTGCTTTCAATAATTAAAGCAGATTACTGAAAAGAAAGCCAATTCTATTTTATTTTTTATTATTCATAAGTTTTAAATGTTTCCAGAGAAGCTAAAGTAAACTACAAAATTGACTTTGAAACAAGAGATTATTACAGGGGTGTCAAACTGCCGGCCCACGGGCCAGATGCGTCATCGGAAAACCACGTCCACCCCATTGCTGGCAATGGCAAAAAAGCTCCGATACGTTGCGCGACGTGATGTCGCGGGTTTGACATGTCTGGATTACAAGGTTAGCTGATGGGAACTTTGGCTGATTTATTTTTTTTTTCATTATTAAAAAAATATAAAACAGCTCACTAGAAAACATAGTGAATAGAATGAGATGACCCTCTTATTTTCTTTCTTTTAAAAGACGTGTTCTTATGATACGTCTATATAATTATTTATGTATTTATAATAATTATGCAGCTGTCTTGCTTACTAAAATTACTATGAAATCTCATTTTTACAGGCTAATTGAGGGGAAAGAATTTTGTTATTCATGAATAGTCCATTAAATTAGAGGGTGTCATCTTTGCAAGATGACATAAATAACTTAATTGTATCATTTGTATAACAGCAGTATGCAAAGGTATAAGCTCCTGCAGAATTTGATATGTTGCATGTAAAAAAATTATTTGTAGACATATCCAGTTAATCAAATTTCACACTCTGTGGGTTTCTGAGCACTGAAAATATCTTTAACTTTTTAAAAACAAAACAATAAATATTGGCATAATCATACAATAATAATGTTTTTGTTTCCTGTTTTAATGTAACTGTGATGTCATAAAGCTTCATGTTGGTCAAAATTGTAAAATGAATATACTATACCAGAGGTCTCCAAACTTTTGGTCACCAGGGACCGGTTCCGTGGAGAGAGGTTTTTCCGCGGACTGGGGAGTGCGTGGTTTCATGTGCTGCATGCATCCCAGGGATTGGGCTTTGCTTGTTTGTGCAGATTGGTTGCTGGCATGCTGCGGCCAGGTACCGGTTCACAGACTGGGGGTTGGGGACCCCTGTCCTATACTGTATCTAAATTGAATCTAAACTCTGCCATCATTTTTATAGCACCCAGTATTTTGTTTTGCACTTATTTTTTTAATAGCCGGACTATTCACATAAGCATATATTGAAACGTTTTTTTAAATCACTATAAAATCAGATAATTACTTCTACATTAATATTATGTTTGATTTTAGCCAAAAGGCCCAGAAGCTAATTTAAATAAGAGATAAAGAATATAGGGTTTCCAAGTTTCCTCCAGCTATAGTTTTGTTGTTTTCAGATTAATCAGACAAGAACAAATTCATCTTGACATTATTTCTTTACTTCTGCACCACCTCTATAGCAATAAATAGTTTAGAATTTTTATCTGCTTTTACTATATAATTCTTAAAAGTACAGAACCTCTCTACCAGCTAGTGAAAAATGAGCTAATTGATCTGTAGTTTGTTGAAAATAGAACTCTTAACTTTCATTAGATAAAATTTAATATCTTCTTAGAAGTAATCCTAGAAGATTTAAAGCAAATTACAGTAATTGAATTTGTCTAATTCATTGCTTATTCCAATCTCATTAAAACAAAAAGCAGAGCCTGACATAGTAAGTTGGTGGGAAAGTATAGATAAGGGGTAGTCAACCTTGGCTCTTTTATGACTCGTGGACTTCAACTCCCAGAATTCCTGAGCCAGCTAAACTAAGCTGGCTCAGGAATTCTGGGAGTTGAAGTCCACGAGTCATAAAAGAGCCAAGGTTGACTACCCCTGGTATAGATCATAGTCTTCATGAGATTTTAGTGTGTCAAAGGTTTCTGCTCTATCTTTCACATTTCAGCCCATTTCAGAGGAAGTTTTTTGGAGCTTGCTTCTTTTGGTGTGACATTATCACATGTTACTTTCCTGTTGCCCATTCCTGAGGTTTAACTGTCTTACCTACCACATGATCGCTTAAGAGAGGGGTGGTCAGTTGCTTTAGGATCAGTGCCTGACCTATCAGTGAAAAACAGAAAACAGTCTGATGATAGCAATAATATTACTGGAAGATATGAGGTTCAAAAATTACAACCTGTCTTTTTTAGTAAGCAAGACAGCTACAAAATTATTATACTGTAAGTACCTAAATCACAACCTTTAATTTGGGAGTTTGAATAGTTTAAGGATAGAAATGCATCTGCAGGCAGACTATTCTCTGATTGATCTACAGATTGGCAAGAAGAATTGAATACCCCACTCCCCCTTTCTCCTGTCACTATAGCTAGATTGGTTTTTACAATTTATGGAGTGATGATATCTTTCTAAGACAAAAATTCAAGGATCAGCTTATCTGTGGATGGGCTTATGCACAAGTATACATGAGAAATACAGGTACTTTTTAAAATATACATATTTTATTCATTTTTTAATAAATTTACATTTTATAAGTGCCTGATAAACAATGCATTGTTTGGGTCTTATCTTAATAACATGTAGTAAAATCCTAATTTCCACCACGTCTTTCCAGCCATTGGTAAAATACAGCCCATATTTGAAAATACTCTGTATATTTTTTTTTCTTTAATCTTCAATATGAGCCTGTCCATTTCTGCATATTTCAGTATTTTCTTGATTATATCGTCTTCAGAAGGTGTTTTTTCATTTTTCCAATTCTGCGCGTACTTTTAAAAAGTATTACTACAATACTGGTGGATAAGCCCATCCCAGATAGGCCAAACCCAATATTTGGGATGCATTTTGGCACCTAAAATTCTTGGCTTAAACAAGTATATACTGTACATTCACTATATGTATGTAGGAAAGTATGCAGTGTGCGGGTGAGCATTATCATGAACCAAAACCACACTGGAAGTCAGTATGCCCCAACGCTTGTTATGGATGTCTTGTCTGAGTTTTTGTAACATTTCACATTAGACTTCTGTATTGATGGTCAAACCAGGCTCCATGAATTCACTGGCATCTTCACATTTGGCAGCATTTTCTATGGTACCACTTCCGGTATGGTGTTGGTTCACGATAATGCTCGCCTGCATACCGCTAGATGCACCCAAGAACTTTTGAAGCAATTCTGTTGGGATGTTTTTGATTTCCCCCCCCCCCCTAGACCAGATTTGGCACCGAGCAACTACTACTAAGGAATTTCAAACCTTGTATGACGTTATGACAAGTGCCTCAAATTGAATGGCGATTATATCAAAAAGTAATGTAATGTTGTAGTTTTCTAATGTGTATAATAAAAGTTCTGTATCTGCGAGTGTCTGCAGATTCCACTGCAATTTTATTGCACAGCTAACTTAGGTGATCCACTGTTTCTTCAGCTTTTTTGCAGAGATTCTATCTTCCCAAATCTGGCTTTATATGTATATGTTTTTAAAGTTTGGACTTGTGAAAAACCACTTTTGGAACTAATACTACAGTAAATTTCTGATTAGCTTAATCTATGGTTAGGTAGCAAAATGATTATGGTATTTATTAGTTCTAGGAGTGGTATTTTTCTTATTTTATCTTAGGAATCTTATTTTACCTTTTCTTTAGAACTCACACAAGCCTTGTTAACCTTATGTATTGTGATTAATTTTATATTCTTTGTTAGTATATAGGGAACTTAACCATTGCTAGTCCATGATATTGATGGGTTTGTACTTTGTTTCTTAGAAAATATGGGAAATAAAAATATATTATTTTAACCTGATGAACGAATTTATTATATTATATATAATAAATTAGAGGGAGTTGTGCTTGAAATCAGAATAAGAAGGTTGGTGAAAATTCAGTATGTCTCAGCCTGTCCTTTTCTTCCCCTACAATAAATCTGCTGGATAATAATAATAATAATAACAACAACAACAATAATAATAACAGCATGAAATTCTGTCCCTATTGGTACTCAGATAAAAAGTTAAAACTCTTTTTAAAATGTTTAAAAGCATAAGGCTTTTTTGAAGCAAACAATCTATTCTGCTGCTATTTTATATTGTTTTTACTGATTTACTCTCATTTATTTTAATTTATAGTCTGATTTTTTTCAGTTCTTGAAAGTTGTTTGTATATATTGTCAAAGTAAATTAATTTTGATGTGGTTCATTTGTAGGAAGACGTTCTAGAGTAAAGCCACCCCCTCCAGTTGTAGGCCATGTGAGCCATCATAATATTGAACTGAGTTGGGACTTGGAAGAACAGCGAAAAGGTCCTCAAGAGCAATGGCTAAAATTTTCAGTTGAAGGAGAAGATCCTAAGCTGCATAAATATGGTCTGATTTACACGTAAGTTCATTTCTACCATTTTGTTTCTACAAGTAAAAAAAAAAAAGGGCTGAGCATGCAAGTCTAATTCAACTGACATAACTCCCAGATCAGTTTCTGAAATCAATTCTTAGATGTAATTGCAATGTTACTAGAATACAGTATTAAGTTCTTTAGATTGCCAAACTATGGCACTACTTTTTATGTAATTCACTGGAATATTTGAAATGAAATGTAATAACAGATGGATCAACTACTACCAAGGGGTTTATTGCATGGGAATGTGCAACCTTATCTTTTATTTTCTTTCTTATTTTGGTATAACTAAGTTCTTACAGCATTGTACTGTTTGTCTGTCTGTTCATATGCACACAATCTTTTCACTTACATAAGAACTGTAGATAGCTTACAACAATTTAATATGAAATATAAATAATGACAGTAGTATGAATATAATTAAAATCAATTAACAGTTAAGAGTAGGACCAAAGTTGCATTTTTACAATTTTCCTAAATACTGGGAATCAAATACAACTCCCTGAGATGAAACATTCATAGTCTTCGAAAGACCACTTTGGAAAAGGATTTTGCATATATACTAGTTATTGCTAAATGGTTCTTTATAAGTACTTCTCCGATAGAATATTTGTAGCTCAGGGTGGGATCCTTGGTGCTCTCTGAACTTGGTGGTTTTCTTGCAGATGTTTCATTACCGGTGCACTGATGATGTTACCTAGTTTGATAATGAAACGTCTGCAAGAAAAACACCAAGCTTGAAGAGCACCAAGGACCCCCCAGTATTTTTCCTGCTGATATAAGTAGTTGGACAGGTTCATAGAAGGAGATGTAGTCTCATACGGTAGATTTTCATGCCTTGAGCTATTAGCTAACACCTTAAATTGTGTCAAATAAGCAATTGGCAGGCAGTGCAGACCTTTTTATATAGGCACCATGTATTCTTCTACCTTGCATCATGAATACTGCATTTTGTATTGATTGTAATTTTCAGGAACTATTAAAGCTTAGTTTTCAATAGAGCATGTTGCAGTTGTCAAGAGAAAAATCAAAGTAGAGATCACTGTCAGAAATCTTATTTGTTCAGGAAATGTCCCTATAACTTGCAACTCCAGTGACAATAGGAGTTGTTCTTTCTGGAAGAAGTATGTCCCAAGTAGTCTTGTACAGTATGTCCCAAGTAGCATCTTAAGTAGATTTCATTACCATTCGGGTTAAACGACGATACTGTAGAAAAATAAAAGTGATAGAAAGCAGTAGACTTGCAGAAAGTGAAAAATGGCACCCATTTCAAAGCTCTAAATCACCTTCTCCAACAGTTTCATGCAAATATGGAACCGTATAGGAAAAGATAAAATTCTAATAAAACTGACTACAGTGACCATCATCATCAAATGACCATTCTAAATCGTGCTTGATGGTATCAAAAACTGATTGGAAGACCTAGCCAAATTATATTTTCCCCACCTGGTTTTCAACATAGATCATGTACCTAGCTAAGTCAGGGGTAAGCAACCATGCTGGCTCAGGAATTCTGGGAGTTGAAGTCCACGAATCATAAAAGAGCCAAGGTTGCCTACCCCCTGACCTAGGTGACCAAAGTATCACTATAACTCAAATCAAAAGCCTTATTGAAATAGATCCAGATAATCAGCTTTATCCAAGTACATCTACAGTAGAAGTGCCAGAGATGACTTTCTCAATCATTTTATCCAAGAATTGAATGTAAAAGATTTGCTTATAATTATAGTGATTTTATAGTCTAAGGGAGGGATTTTTCAATAAAGGACTTGTAACCATCCATTTAACGATTAAGCAGCCACAAACACTTTCTGCACTCAGGAAGGCACTGATCATATTTCTTAACTATAGAGTGAATCCCAACCCTGATTGGTTTAATCAGCCAGAAAGGCAAATGTCAAGCAGTTGGACAGCTCACATTTCTATATATGACTTATTCTCATCCTCAATATGTACACATGTCAAGCTCAGTGGCAAAACCTCAGCAGAATCTTGCAAACACTTGGCATAACTTAATAAGGCTCTAAGCTTGTATTCAGCTTAAGACTGTTCAACAATATGACAATGCTAAAAAAGAATCTTTGTTGCATTCTAGGAAACCACTGAAACAGTTGATTGCCATCTGTTAGGATGGAAGTTCATTTCCTTCCTTATCCTTAATTGTAATTTAATTCCAATGTTTCTTTCTCCTACACTTCCCATTATTTAGAGCAGAGTTTTTCAAATATTTTCATGCAACAGAACTTTTTTAAATTTTTTTTTAAAAAATCCAGAACCTTTGATCAAGAGAAAAAGCTTTGGTAATAGAAAATTACCAGCTTTTAAATGAATTTTTATTTTTGAACTTCTTCTGTCATGGTACTCCATGAAGTTCTCAGAGAACCCTAAAATACTGTGGAACATAATTTAAATCCTAATTTAGAGGATGGAGGGAGGTTGCCTTTTGCTTATCTGCCTTGAAGCTAGGCAACTATTGGCTGTTGCTATAACTATAACATTTTCTTGAGAAATGTTGACTTTCAACTTCTGCAGCAAGCAGAAAAGAATCCATATGTTTCAGACAGGTGCAAAAATTAACTATTTTTGACCAATCCAGTCCCAGCACTAGTCCAAGCCATAGAGAATTCAGTATATGTTGTTTGCAAAGAAAGATGAAAATTGCTCTGTTCCAACCTCTGACATCTTAATGGAGAACATATTCCAGAATATGGTAAAGTACTGCCATTGTGTTTGGTGCAGGTGCAGTGGGGGCAGAGAAATAAATCTTTTTTTTGCTGCATTTGCTACAATTGAGTGTGAATTCAGATGGATCTTATGTAGATCTTAAATTAGTGGGTAAGTTGATCCATCTTAGAGATCTTCCACTTAGGCTGTAACTATCTTCATTAGTTCCATAGAAAATCAAGTTTCTGACTTAACTCTGCTAGAGGAAAAATATATAGAAGTTATTGTATCAATTACCTGGGCCATCTCTCTGTTCCACATATCAGCAAGATTTTGAACAGTATCATTGACAAATGAGAAAAATGAGAAATTTTTCAAGCTCATTCAGAAAATTATTCATTCTTTTCAGGTATATGGTCAGAATATTTCAATCAATGAATAATATTTATTTGGTCAATGACAAGCAAAATTTAAAAGAACAAAACAAACACACGTTTTAGTATAGATGTTAAAGATTCCCAAGACAATAAATCTTGAATAGTTCACTGTCATTCAAAAGATTACTTTGGGTGCCTCGGGAAAAGATTGTTGTGCAGCAGATGAACAGTATGTATCAGTGTACAGTACCAAGTCATGGGATCATGGTTGCAAACACTGAGATTTCTAGATAGTTGGGTAGAACCTCTAGTGACTAGAGTCCTAGTCAATGAGATAAGTAGAATTCTACCCTCAGAGGTAGCCTATTGCATCATGGGTTAATTTAGAAGAGAATACTGAGACAGATTAACTCCTCCCTCTTTCAATCAGGTCTTATACAATATTTAGAGACTATTTTCAGCCAGGATTAAATTTGGATAATAAATGCTTTATGAACAAGCAACCTGACATTAAAAAATAGGTCCTTTAAATTAGAGACTAACAGGTTGGCCTACCCTCTGAGCTTCCTTAAGGGCTGCCCAAAGACACATTCCCCTTTGAAGTTGCTCTTTTAATGTCTTCACAGAAAAGCATCATTCCTTTTAAACATAGGGATAGATTATGGCATTTTTGCAAAGTGGTTTCAGCAGAGCAGACCTTCAGTAATTCTGGTTCCTTCTTTTGTTTCTCTGGAATTTGATTACATTTGAGGAAAAAGTAGAATGTTTCACAGTTAAGTTGATACTATCATGACCACTCTAGAGGCAATTTTCATATTAGTTATTATCAACTATTTTCTACATTTGGAAATTTATCATATGGAGGGAAAGTGAGAGAGAGTATGAAGTTATTTTGCTTATCAGTGGTGGCCTAACTGCTGTTAGTAGCTTTGTTTTAAATTATAATGGAGTTTTCTTTGGAAGATTCTTTGGAGAATTGTTCACTAGGTGGCAGAATTAGACTGTTTCAGTATTCCCTTTTACATCATTTATCAAACTAGCCATTGTATACCATCAACAGTATTTTAAGTTTAAATTATTCTGAAAGGTCTAGGAAACAGTCTTAGGAAGATTTTTATTTAATGAAGTAGTAGCACATGACAGTTTGGGTGGTATTCTGGTGTCTTGGTCTAATCCTAGTGCACACTGTTAGAATAATCAGCCTTGTTTTTTCATCCTTTAAAATACGTTGTAAATATATATCTGATGACACTTCTGCTGATATTCTGACTCTTGTTCAGTTCTTGCATCTCTGATTTTTTTTTACATCTGCATAGTTTAAATATTTATGCACGAATGGGTTTATTCTGCATCTGTCTTGCAGTCATCACATAATAATATTGGATATATATATGAATATGCAGATAGTTCATTGATGCATAATAAAGAAAAATAGTATGTATATATTTAAAAATGGATTAACTTTTACCCACAAAATGATTTTTTTCTTCAGCAGCATTGACATTTATAGATATTAAATATCAGACATGTTCAGTGATTAACAATGCTAATATGTTGTTTTATTGTCTAGAATGTTAGTAAGTAATTAGAAAAACTAAATCACTTCCTTTTTAGGGGATATGCCCGACAGCATGTTGTGGAAGGTCTTGAACCTAGAACAACGTACAGATTTCGACTTAAAGTCACAGATCCTGAAGGCGAATCTGTTTATAGTTCACCTATTTGTGTAACTACAACAAGTAAGGTCACAGTATGTTAATAAAATGTTAAGCAAACAGTGTAGAAATATATACAAAATGAAAACAGCTTTGGAAGGAAAGCAGAAACTCGTTCATTAAAATAAAGATATAGTACAGCTCATTTAAGCAGTCTCTTATTAGGGCTGTATTTTAGACTTATTCTGTATTTGCCATTCCTTATTATTATCTGATCTTTATCTTTATTTTTTCACATTTTTTAAACATTTAGCTCCCCCAAATCAAAAATAAGAAAAATCTCATCAACCACATTCAAATTCTTTAGTATGGAAGAACCTGCAAGTTGTATTCCTCTTAAGTATGCCATTGGAATTACTTTCTACTTATACTTGCTGTAATATACAGAAAGATACAAAAGAAAAACAGGAGATAGGTAGAGTTGTATCCTCCCCCCTCTGTTAAGAAAGGGCTGTTCATTTTAACATAAATGCTTCTTTACCCGTCCTCTCTGTCCAGACTTCAAGCAGTTCCAAGAAGATTCCACACCCATTTGCACTCTGATTCAGGTGACCTTGAGAGCACAGATAAACCTTCAAGGGGCCTCAACACTTTCCACCTTCAAAATACTACTAACCAGATGACTGCAAGGAATATAAATCTTTCCATTCCTCAGAATTCACTCAGAACTGAAGATGCTTCTTGGATGAGAAGCGAAATATCTTCAAGAAAAAAACAAAGCAAGTCCAGTTGCTTTTGGAACAACCATGACCTGGATAACTGAGAATCTCCATGGAGATTAGCTTAACTTGTAGCTTGCATATGAATGGTTCATAGTTCCATAGTTAGTAGCTGGTCATGTCTTTGATGCTATCATTTTGGTCCTCTACCTCAGTCAATTTGATTTATATTTAGTCCATCTTGTGATGTCCATGTTTTGGTTGTTTGAAGACAATGTTAGCTGTAAAGAAATCATTGGAGTAGAAGAAATTGATAAGGTGGTCTCCTTCATTTTGGTTTCCTAAGCCATTCAGTCCTTGAAACATGCCATGTACACCATTTTGTTAAGTTTTGTTCTGATGATGATCTTATTAACAACGACATTGACCAATGGAAGACAGGCCTTTAGCTCCTCAGATGTTATTGTGGAGTTATTTGAGACTTCCCAAAGTCTTGCTCTTGATGTGTTGTTTGGACAGCCATTCATAGAGAGGGTAACAATGATGTTAAATTGCCCTCATTTGTAAGCAATCTACCTAATGTTGGACTTTTTGGAAATAGTTGTAACCTTTCCATAACTGTCTTCAGAAATTCCCTTTGGTTGAGCCATGACATATTTCCACAACCTGTTTGGTGGAGTTCAGACTTCGATAGTGAATACCCATAATTCTTTAAATGAGAAGCTCCCACATTCAATCTGATTATCTTCCCATTGATTCAAACACCTGACTCTAATTTTCTCCTTCAAATGAATTGATAGTTCTGGAGGTTTGCATTTCACACAGATATGTAGCATTAGTTCATTTTCTTCAATAAATAAATGAACAAATATGGTGTTTTCACTCATTTGTAACCACCTGTTTCTAGTGCTGCATGCACTAGAAAGGATGCCTTCTGATTTCAGACCCTGTTCCTGATCAATCTCTTCATGCTAGGTCAGGCAGCTTAATGTGAATAAGCTATCTCCTTCCAGCCATATTAGCTTGTCCAGATACCATATCACTTTTTGCAGCTTCATAGTGCTCCACATTCCTACCTGTCTCATAGTGAACCCCATGTTAACGAATTGGAACCATATTTCCATTTGTAAAGCCTACCTACCGGGATTGATGAGACCCCATAGCTTGACTAGAATAAAGGTGCATTGCATCATATAAAAGAATAATTAAAAAAAATAAATCTAATTTTAACTGATTAGTGTTTTTGTTACTCATACAAGTTTTATTAATTTCTTCATATTGTAGATAGTTAAGGTGGCAGAAAAAATAACTGATTACTTAAGCACTTGACTGACTGGTTTTTAAATGGTGTTGAACCTGATAGATACTTGGATGGAAGATCATTAGGAAATAGTGGTGTTGAGGGCTTGAATGGGAAATCAAAAACATTCCAAAAGGTAGCATTAGCAAACCACTTCTGTATTATTGTCAGGAAAACTGAAGGGTTCCATTTATGTAAATATCCATGGGCTAGGGATTTTTCTGGCTCATAACTTTTATAACACTTCTTTTTATTGTGCTGCAAAAACCAAAACAGTTATGTAAATACTGTCTGTTATCTATTATCGTCTCTCTCCCTCTCTCCCCCCTCTCATCTATTTCTCTCATCTATCTATCTATCTATCTATCTATCTATCTATCTATCTATCTATCTATCTATCTATCTATCTATTAAATAAGCTATATATGTTATACTATTTGTTTATAAGTATTCATTGGGAAAAATGTTTCAGTTTTCAAAATAATGTTCTTGCATTTCTGAATAGAAGACTTTGAGGTTATCTTTTAAACAATTCTTTTATTAATAAAACAGGAACTTTTAAAGATATCCAAATGCTGTATTGAAACACATGAAAGTTAATAAATTATATGAGATTTTTAACAATTGACAAGAACACGTATATAGACATTTTTAACTTCCTTTCTTTTCTTTAGGTGAGCCAATGAGCGGGGAACAGCTCCACCGTGCTGTAAGCAGGAATGATTTAGATGATGTTATTCTTATTCTTCAAGAAAGGTAAGAAAGGATTCGCACTTTATAACTTATGTATATGAGTGATAGCTGATTAAAGATAATAATGAAAACTGCATGAGCTTCTATATATTGAGCTGCATTTCTTTTAAACCTACGGTAGTAACAAATTGTATAATTGTATAATTCGTATAATGGAACATTCTCATAACATTGGCTTGGATTCAATAATGTTTCAGGTAATCCAAGACAATGCATCATTAGCAATGTGTGCTGCTAAAAAAGAGATTCCTCCAATAGAGCAACAATGGGGAAACATACAGTGCTCTCAGGCTCATCTCCTACAAATGCAAGATGCAGGACTCCCATTTCAGCATGGCGCAGCTAGCAATTAGACTACTGTAAGAAATTAGCAGCCTATATTGCTTCCCAGCCAGTACAAAGATGCCAATAGAGCATGCAAGCTGTGTGTATCAAGGAATGAGCTGGGTCTCATTTTAAATGTGTGTAATGATGGAGTTGGAAGTTATATAGTGCATAAGAAAGGAATTAAACCAGAGCACTTATAGCATTGGTGCTATAAGCTTCCTAAATCATTGATCAGTTTTCTGAAAGAGTAGAGCTGGGAAGAAAATTGGAGCATACCAGCACTCTGGGGAGAATATCAGAAAAGACCTTATATATTTTCTAGTGTGGGAGAAAATGTTATCACAGACACTGCAATTCAATAGGGGAAGTAGGGAGAGGAGTTCAAAGATCTTGAATAATCAGTTCTGTACCACTGTTTATCATGGTGGATATTTGTTTTGTTTTTTAAAGAAAAATTCAAATATAATTGTAGCATTAGGCTGAGAGAAGCAGCCTGCTTATGTGGTAATACATGCAATGCTGTCTGTCATTCACTCTCATGAAGGGAGATAGTATATTGGTAAGATCTATCTGTTCTAGTCAATTATCTTCTGAAGATCTGTATGGTCCTATATTGCCATTGGTTTTTGAAGTATGTTTTTGCTGTCTATGCTGAACAGTAGTGGCACTTATTTGGAAAGAAGTTTAGTGGGGGGTCTTATTTATGTACTATTTCTAGAAGTCATAATTTGAAAATATTTTGGCATTTAGAGGCTGGACTCCTAAAAGAACAGAAACATTTGTATTTGAATCTCAGCTGAGGAGGGGCAAAATGATTATTATTACTTGCTTGCTCTCTTGGAACTTGTTGAGAAACAATTACTAAATAGTGATTTACCACCAATAGATGGTATACTCCCATTGGCCACCAGTTTTAGAAAACAAGATTACATCTATCATAAAAGTCTGAAGACCAGCAAAGCCCCTCATAAGAAGTTTTCACTGCCCAGTCTATTTAAAAGATACTTTGTCTGGTGGGCTCATCTCTTAGGGGGTTTATTCATTTGTATAAATAATAACTGCTTTCTCCTAGTTTGATTTTAGTTCCTATATTAGTAAAAATTAAAATTAAAAATTAAAATATAATTTTAGTTCCTATATACAAAAAAGGAATGAAGAGGATCCTAACAACCATAGATTCACCAGTCTAATAGTTTTTGTGGCTAATATATATACCAGATTACTCTTGAATAGAGGAAATTGCCATATATTATTATTCTGTTATATATGATCTTATTATTGTTCTGTATTTATATTCTAATATGTCTTGATGGTAACCATCATCACCCCCACAACTATTTCTAATGGGGATTAAACAATTGCCAGATCAGGAATAAAATGAAACAGTATGAAATAAGTGGAATTAGATGGTTACACAAGTGGGGAAAACTTGGACTAGTAAAATGAGAAATGAGTAACTCAAGTGACAAAATTGATATAGTAGGGAGAAGAACAGAGTGGGAACAAATAGAGCTAATTCTTTTAAAAAATAACATAGGGAATGGCTTCATTTCTGGCTGAACATGGAGGTGGAAAAGATATTGTTGTGGTTCCGGCTAATGAAACATTCCAAAGAACTTCCAGTCATTTATTTTCCTAAAAGTCTTTTATTGTTACAAAATGTCAGCACAGGCACAAGGAGGGATGCTAGGATCAGCATGTTCCCTCCCTAAATTAGCTGTCATATCTCACATTATCCAATTAGTGTGAAGGTCAAATGTTTTCTTCCTCTTTCTTTCCTGGGCTTTACCCCCAACCCCCCCTTCTGCTCTGTATTAACCCCATAATTACCAGACAATTCTGCATATTGTCAAAAGCAAGAATATACAATATTTGCAGCGTTGACAGATATATTGTAAATTGACGACTATATAGATCAGAAGTGGAAATCTGGGTCCTCCATATGTTGCAGTTCCCAGCATCTTCAGAATTTGAGGTTTTAACTGAAGTTGATGAACACCTATTTAACAGCCTCTGAAGGGTAGAGATTTTCCACAGGTGGTCTAGATTTTCCACATTTCACTATAAATTTAAAGAAAGCTCATTTTTAAGCCTTATGAACGTTGGTACTCTCTGGATAATATGTTATTATGAAGATGAAGAAACTGATCAGTGACTTAGTTCAGCATTTCCCAAGCTTCTTGATATATTGCAACCTTAATGTCTTAATAATGTTTTCACTGTGCCCTGCAAAATATCCCAGATGTCCAGATGCCACTCTGAATTTGATGCAGTAACCCAAGGTACCACAGCACCTAGTTTTGGAGCTTTATACTTACTTATTAGTGGATATTAGAAATATAAAAATTCCTATATAAATTCTTTTGGGATTTAATTTTGGCATACATTAGACTTTTATCTATTGGAACTATCTTTTGCATCAGATTAAAAACTGCTGGTTAATCATAAATGGGGTTAGTCATAATTATTAGTCATTGATTAATCCTAAATGATTAGTTAATCATAAATGGGAGAAAAATACTGTTCTGACAGTTCTGAAAGTACTGCACAAATAGTAATAATTATGTTAAAAAATTAGATGACATTGAAAGAATTCACATTTCAACCTTATCTCTGAACTCTTAGAATGAAATTAAAATGTAATGTCACAGAGACATGATGATAGAAGAAACCAGACTGAGCAGATTCCAAGCTTTTTCTTTCATGAAAGCTGCTGTTGTATCCCTGCAACCATTTAGATAATAGTATTTATTGAACAAGTCTAAACTGTATTGATTGCTCTTGAATCTCTCCTCTGCAGACCAGCATTTTATATTGAACTTTTGGGTATCACCAGATAGCAATGTATGTTCTCTCTATATATATTTATTTATTATTTACTCTCTGTATAAGCTGCCTCAATAAACTTGACGGCAAACAACATAACTGGCATGCACAATTAAAACCATAATATAAAGTGCAAACAAATACAAGTTAAAATTAAATACTCAAGAAGCAAAGGAGCTGAATGCTCACTATAATAACCCAAGTTTTTAGTTGCTTTGTATATATAAGATAGGGGGACCTATCCTTACTTAGGAAGGTAAGGTGTTTCAAAAAATGAATCCAGCACTGAAAAGGTCTGTTGTCTGGCCTATACCTCACAGATCTAGCAGAAGAGAGATGGGGTGAGAGCTGTCAACAGGCCCTCTTTAGGTATTCATACTGAATGGGCAGGTTCTCTCTTGCCCAGTATAAAATGGTGCTTGACATAACATGGTGCAGCCAGTGAGAGGTTTAAAAGCAATTATTACGATTTTGAACTGAGTCTGAAAGCTAGCCAGCAGACAATGGAGAATAAGATGTAATTCTACTCTGTTAGAGGTTGTCTTATGAGAAGTCTTTTACCACATTTTATACCAACTGTAGGTTCAGAGATGCCTCCAAAGACAGACCCATGTAGAACCATTACAGTAGTCTAACCATGTGCATCAAGGCATAAATCCTGAGGCATCCTGAGGTATAACTTGTACAGCAACCAAAGCTCAGCAAAAGTCCACCCATCCACATGCAATTTCAGGAAGAGATGTTGAATTTTTACCTTTATTGGTGGTATTTGGCTATCAACCAAGTTCAGTGCTAAATTCCTTTCATATATTAGATGATTTGGCCATAGCAGTATAAGAAAAACACATGGAGATGGCAAAAAGCCGCCTATCCAAAGATTTTTAAATCTTAGGAAAATTTTTCACTAACCGGAGCCTCGCTCTTAGCACCAGTAAAATGGTAACTATATGCTTCCACCTTAACATCAAACTACGATATGAAGCCCTGATGGTTTATTTAAACAACGTACTCCGCTGCAATCTCCATCTACAGTATCTTGAAGTAACATTGACCAGACTCTCTCCTATAAGATACATCTAGAGATATGGCTGCCAAAATCAGTACTAGGAACAATCTATTCCATAAATTGTGGAACTAAATGGAGAGCTTCAGCTGCCACCCTCAGGTCATCAGCATTAGAGTTGGTCTACTCTGCAGCAGAATACTGTGCCCCTGTATGGCTTAACAGCTGCCATACTAATAAATTAGACATCAGAATCAGTGCCACCATGAGGATTATGAGTGAGCCATATAGCACTGCCAGCTTTATGAAGACAAGATTCACTAAGGAGAGAAAACAGAAACATTATGAACAATTCATTCCTAGTGGTGCATGCTGACCTTCCTCATTTATCAACCGAAAGGCTCAAATCTAGGAAGTCCCCACTGGCACTTGCACAATATCTGCCCAACAACTTTAACATCAATTCCCAATGGAAAGCCAAGTGGGTAGCTGAACTCCCAGACATAGGAAGGCATATAAATGACCGCATTAAAAAAATGCCAAGCTTTGAACTACCACGTCAGTTGTGGACAATCCTGAATAGGATTTGTACCTCACAAGGTATCTGCTGGGATTTTCTGTATAAATAGGGGATAGTATCCTCCCCTCAGTGTGACTGTGGGGTCCCACATCAAACTGTAAATCACATCATGACCAGCTGTAAGCTGAAGACATATACTGGTCCAGTATCTGCTTTTTTAAAATATAAATGGTACTGTCCAGTATCTGATTTTTTAAAATATAAATGGTACTGCACTTCAATGGTTAGATGCCTAGCCATTGATATTTGAACATAGATCTTTTTAATATTTATATTTTATTGTGTTCTATTATTTTAGGTGAAATGTTAATATATATTGCTAGTCCAGATACAATATGCCATACATTAAATAAATAAATAAATAAATATAGACATGTATTACTTAAACTTCTATCTAGTTTTTCCACCAAGAGTTCAAATTAGTATTAGTGTTCCCTATTTCAATTTTCCCCCACCACCATAACAGTGGCAGTTATACAAAACTGTTGAATGTGTTGAAGAAGTCACTGATTAATACTTTTTTATTTTATGATTACAAAATATTATTCAGGAATGAGATAAGTGAAAAACTGTGGATAATGTTTTTTTTCCCTTAAAAGGCAAGTTATAGTAAATACACTCAATAAACTAGGACTTTCAGCATTGATGGTTGCTTCACAAAAAGGATATACAAGGTACGGCATTATTTTTCTTATATATTTTATTTCAGCATTCTTAAGTTTGTATTTTAGCATCTGTTTAGATCATCATTATTAATGTCTTTTTTAGAATTATATGAACATAATAATGCTTTCAAAACAGAATGGCTAGTTGATGCACTTGAAGATTTAACTCCAAAAGACTTATCAGTTCTTTCCCATCACTCTCTATAAATGATTATGTTAATTTTTCCTTAGTTATAAGTATTCAGTATTTGTTGTAATTTTTTGAATTTTATATGAAATATATGTAACTTTCTGTATATAAAGTAATACTGCTACTCACACGTTCTATAGCTGTGACCCATAGAGCAGGCTATTAACGTTCAGTTATTCAGTTATTCAGTTATTAACGTTCAAATATTAAATCTCAAATTATGCTATAGAAGATATGCCCATCTATGCTGTCAAATACATTGCTCTCATTTATGGGTGTTAATTTTAAAAAAATATATTGCCACTGGGCATGGATATAAACACATATCAAATAAAACTATTATCACCACTACAGTGATAGTTCTAAGTACTCTTTTTCTCAGCCTTCTGATTTTTAAACGTATCATTGTAATATGGTTAGCAATTGTTCTATATTACAGTATTTTATTGTACATTGAGAATTGGTTGCCTTTTCTTGCTCTATATTATTTAATCAATTATAGATTAAAATACCTTGAACCTATGGTTGCAATGACTTGTTAGCTTATAAAACAGTGTTTATGAAATTGAGATTGAAAGTTATTTTTAATTTCATTCACTAAAGGACTCATTAAAATTGACATCTAAATTTGAAATGTATTTTTACAAACTATAGAAGGAAGCTAGTTATGAAAACAATATAAGGTAAATATGGAAATAATATGAAGCTACTCTTTTATTTCTAGGCTTGTACAGGTTTTGGTAGAAAATGGAGCAGATGTGAACCTGAAAAATGCCAGTGGAAAAGACAGGTATAAAATTCAATATGTAAGATTATATTAAATATATTTATTTGTCTGAGAGTAGCTAAATAATTGAGAATATCAGTTAGTCTATGTAAACTGGAAAAAGTATTTTACAATGCATGAGAATATTATAAAATACTTCTTGGGGGACCATAAAAGCTGCAGCATCTTTCCAAACTAACTCAGCTACTTCAGAAGTTGCTCAGAGCTATCTCAGCGTGTATGTACATACATTACCATTTCATTTATTGTCTTTCCTGCAAAAGACTATACATGCCCCAGCATGCAACAATCAGCCTGAATGTATCTGCTTTAATTATTTGAAAGGAGGTGCTTTGTACATGCATGTTGTGAAGCATATTCTTTGAAAGGTTTGCATAATCTTACTACCAATCATATGTAAAAGTTTGGTACTAATGCATTAATATTGCAGTGGACAATATAGGCAAAACAAATTGCATTGAGTCCATTCACTCTAGGGGGAGAGAAGCATATCCTCCTCCTCCTCCTCCTCCTCCTCCTCCTCCTCCTCCTCCTCCTCCTCCTCCTCCTCCTCCTCCTCGTCCTCCTTCTTCTTCTGCCATAGTCGTTATTGGACATTGGTGATCATGCTGTTTTTATCAGCAGCCGCACGAAAAAGTGCTGCTGATAATCCTTCATGGTACCTTAATTCTAGCTAAATTTATTTGACAAATGAAAATGTATCCTAACAAAAATATCACATAGCATTTTATAGCATTGTATATAACTATTTTTACCTTTCAATATTAGATATTAAGTAAAGTAATATTTACTTACAATCCAATGCCAATCTGATGTTTATAAATATTTGAGCAGATAATATGTAATTAGAGATATACAAAGCAAAGTTCCTGAAAAGTAAAGAGAGTATAGTCATTTATTTCTGAATTTCATGTACAATTCACATGTATATGAAGAATGTTTTCTACTGCATTAATGATCTCATTCAACTGAAAATATGTGTTTATTCACTTGTAAAAATTATAATGGAAACCAGCTTTACAAAGTACTTACTTCATTAAGGTCATATTGATCTAATTTAACTGAAGTCAATGTTAAGATCATTGTATGAAATCAAGACAGTTATATTGTTCAGTTTCTCAACTGCAGGATAAAGCAACTGAGTTTAATTTTTTCTAATCTTTTAAAAAGTAATTTTTGTATCAAACAGCTTTGTTCTTTTTATTAATCAAATCAGTTTATTTTATGTATTTGATTTTTATCCAGACTTTATTTTGTATATAAATATTTCAAGGCTGTGAATACTCCTCCCTCCTCCTATTTTCACCACAACAACAACCCTGTGAAGTGAATTGGGCTGAAAGTGAGTGACTAACCCACAATTGCCCAGACAGCTTTCATTCCCAAGTCTCCTAGTGCCTAGACCATCATTTTAGCCAGTGGACCATCCTTCTCTAAAATACTTAGCCTTCACAAAAGAGCATTAATAATATTAACCTGTACATTTGAGGGAATATGTAGACCTGTTTCAAGTCACAGGATTTAAGACTGAAAACTTGATATATGCCTCTTGAGTTTGGATTGTGTAATAAACATGCTTAATTAACTTTTATCCTCTTTTTACAATTGCTGATACAGTCCATAATTGGGAAGATAATCTTTCTGCAGCTTTTCCCCTGAACTGTAGAGAACAATCTACAGTCTAGCCTTTAAATCCTAGATGGGCTTTACATGCAACCTGATGAACAGCTAAAGCTTGCAAAGACTTAGTGTCCTCCATTTTGTTGTCCGAGTTTCTACAATGATTGGCTAACTTTTAGAGATGAATGTTTTTTTTCCTGTTCAAGGGGAAAACTGCATAAAGATTTTTTTTCCTTCTTGCTTCTGTTCCTCTACTTTTTAACCTGGAGTCAAGGTTAAGAGGGAATAGAAATTCAAGAGCAGAGGTGGAGAGTTTACTTTTAGCACCTAATTGGAGCACGGGTGTGTGTGTGTGTAGATCAACAAGTCTGTCTCTCCCAGATTTTTTTTGTTTGGTTTATTGAAGAAATATGGCTTTCTGGAGGAGGAAGGGAGAGGGCCAAGCAAGGGAAAGGTTTTGAGAAGCTCATCCTGAAGTTGCCGCCTTTTATGCAGGGACCAGCTTCCAAAGCCTAGCAGCAGGCAGGAAAGGTTTGCAGCCTCCCAATGGCTAGCTAATCGGCCATCGGAAGGCTCTAAAAGGCTATGAACTGGTCCTTCTTTTGCCCCCAAAAGGCAAATGCACCTTGGCAGAAGGGAGAGCAGGAGCAGAATTAGGAAAAGCATGTGTGCCCAGCATTTTCTTTTCCATTGTTTCTTACTGGCAAGACAGCAGTGCAGTGGCGGAAATGGACTGTGGTTTGGGGGAGGCCTTGAGAGGCCTGAAGACGATGGGCTTGTACCTGCACTTGGCAACCCAGGATCTCCCCCAACCCTGAGCTCCACTTAAGAATGCATTGGGGAGAGCAGAGATGGCTGGTTGTTACTTGAGGCAGCTCATTTAACATTGTCCCGGCTTTCGGCCCTAATGGACAAGCTTCATTATGGTTGTAACTTGAGGACAACCTGTAATTGGGATGAGGTACTATTTCATTGTGGTTGCTCCTTTTCCAGTAGCTCCCAGGCTTCAGGCAAAGCTTTAAGCACCAAGTAGAGTCCTCACCAGGATAATGCTGCTCACCATGGCTTGTGATGACATCACCTCTTGCAAGCAGGCAAAGGACTTTAATTCAATTGCCAGGACCACAAGCCAAAGTGAGCAGCATTATCCTGTCAAGGGATTTTAATTGTCTGCTGACATCACTTCCACTTCCTCATCTGTAGGCCATTTGCTTTTACTTTTCCTGTTGTAAATGCCCTTTTTTCACTCTGTCTTAATATTTGCCAAGGTACAAAGATTGGGTCGGGTAAGGCTGACTCTGGATATCAGCATATCCTTGAAAAATACCAGGATGTGGCTCAGTTAGCCAGGCACTTCAGTACTGATTTGAGTGCCTGTGGGTACATTTCTGAGGGAATGTGAGAATGCCTGAAACAAATCTATGTTGCATCTGTGTGGAAACTTGGATATATGACTGCACCTACTTTTCAAACAAGCAGATACAAACTGAATCCTCATTCTCTGAGGAAGTCCATAAAAGGTTGAAGTTATGGCTCAGTGCATGATGGAGCCTGTGATTCCTATGGTTGATAGTTGTAAGTGACTGCAAAAACATCAATTTTGGCTGTCTATTCACAAAAATCAACTGTTCAGAGTACAAAAGGGCAATCTCCAGATCTCTCTTTATTCCAAACAGAATTTTGCAGTCACATTTAGTTATCTTTTCAGCTATAATACCCCTGTAATCCTCAGAGCATTAAAAAATGTGGGCATCAGTTTACTTGCCTCATCAGAAGCTCCAATCAGCAACTTTAATTTTTAATGAAATTTTGCTTTTGGTTTCTGAAGCTTTAAGTCAAGAAGGAAGATAAACAAACTTCTTACATGCCCATCTATGAAATAACTATTTTCTTATATTAATGTGAAGAAGCAAAGAAACCTGATGTTCCAGCATTTTTTAAAAAAGTTATATACTACAAAATATTTCTTGCTATCTAGCATTTGGGGCTGCAGGAAATTACCTACTCACTAAGAAACAAATTAAAATGATAGTTACCAAAAATCCAAACAAAGGATTAAATTCACAAATGGAGAGATTGTCTCATACTTCTGCCATGTAATATAGCAATATACAATGTAAAAAAATAAATCTTCTAGGAAAATTAATATTTAACTAGAAGTGTATGTAGACTAACATAGGGGTTACTTAATTATTTACTTTCTATCTCTCAGCAATTCAAAATGAGTGCTTTAGCCTTAACAAATACTTTTATTTTACAGTTTAATGACAGCTTGTTTTGCTGGTCACTTGGATATTGTCCAATATCTCAGATCCCAAGGGGCTTCCTGGCTAAGCAGGGATTTGGGGGGATGTACAGCTATGCATTGGGCTACGGATGGAGGGCACTGTGATGTTATTGAATGGATGATCCAGGATGGCTGTAAGGTATTGGAAACATTTGTGTAACTTATGAAAAACAGCATGTTACATTGTGTTTTCTGATATGTACATACTTTTTTACATGAAATACTGAAGAAGATAGAGTAATGCATCAGTAGATACATGTGTAAACAATGCATTACAGATAGTCCTAGACTTACGAGCACAATTAGGACCAGCATTTACATTGCTAGCAAGACTGTTGATAAGTGAGTCATCCCCAATTTTACAACCCTTTTTGCTATGTTTGTTAAGCAAATCAATGCAGTTGTTAAGTGAGTCACATGGTCATTAATTGAATCTGGCTTTCCCCATTGACTTTGCTTGTTGGAAGCTGGATGGGAAAATAGCAAGTGGAGATCATGTGACCTTGGGATGCTGGAACTATCATAAATATATGCTGGTTGCCAAGTGCCTGATTGTTGAGCCCATGGCTGGGAATACTGCAACAATCATAAATGCAAGGATTGGTTGTAAGACTCTCTTTTCAGAGCCATTGTAACATTGTAACACTTGCTAAATGTATGGTTGTAAATTGAGGACTATCTGTATTTATGTAGGAATGCTTTTATAACAATCTAATTATTGTAATTAGACTGTATCTTACCACTAGATTAATTTTCTTAGTGGAAAACCTGTTATAACTTTTATTAATATTCATCATTGTTATCAACATGGAAAAATAAAAACAAGCTTGAAGCTTAAAAGATTAAAATGATGCATTTACATTTTAATTTACTGTAATGTTAATTTAGCAAGAAAAATATAAGGTGATCTGGTTTGGCTTGACTAGAAGCTGCTTGTGCAGTGGAAATATTTATTTATTTAGTAAATCTATATGCTTCCCATGTTCCTTTACATTACATTAAATATTACAATAAACAGAGATTAAATGTTAAAAACTAAAATATAAGAGGATGCTTACCTGCTTTCAACCCCTGTCCTCTCTCCCCCTGAAAATCTCTTCACCCACAATTTGTTTCTGCCTACTTATGCCTTTTCATTACATTCCTCTTCTAGATCCCAAATCTTCTTTTGACCCTTCCCTCCCCATCCCTAACCAATATTTTTGGAATGGTGGAACATTAGGCTGTGATAAAGGAGCAAAATCCATAGATGTAAGGCATTGATACCTCCCATACATTTTAAGATAGAGCATTTACATATATAATTTTAATACTGTGAGGCATATTTCAAAAGCCAAAGCTACAGTGTTAACAAAATAAAATTCATTTAATTATTTAAATGATGTTTTATCTAACAAAGCTACTTATTTATAGAAGTGACTGCTCAGTATATCTAGGGCTAAGGCTGTAATCTTTTCTGAGGCTGACTTCAAAATAAGCCTCATTAAGTTTAATTATGCTTAGGTTTTTTTTAGACATGTTTAGACTGTGATATACATCACAATAACTCCAAATGGATTAAGATAGCTATATTTCCTTTCCTATTACTTTGGGAAAACATTCATTTGGATGAAAGGCTAGTTAGATGGAAGAATGTAAATCTGTTGTACTGTTAGCAGAAGATCATTAGGATAAAAGATCAAAATATTCCAGCCTTTTTAAAGAATATATTTGAGGTCAGGCATTACAGAGAGCCTTTATGCCATTAACTCATATCATTTTTCTGTTATTGCCTTAGCTATTTTACATCTATCCTGTGTACCTTTTTTTTAAAAAAAAAATAATTTCAGCTTTAAGGATTTTTAAAAACAGAATTATATTATTACATTTTAAAAAATAAAACTAACACAAACTAAAAAAATAAAAAATGCAGAAGAAATAGAAAAATAATAAGAATATAGTAAAGAAAAAGAAAAGAAATATATCAAGAAATGGCTTCCCCCTTCATCACAATTATAAACAATTTTAATAATTTATCACCTTCTCTTAAAATGCAATGATCTCTTCTTCCCATATTCTATCTTTGTCTACAAACAAATCCTTAGGGCCTGTCATTCAGTTCTGATCAATAAATAATCATTAAAGGTTAACCAGAGATAGCAACATATCTATTTTAACCTTGATTAAATATACCAACTTTATATTTTTTCTTTTACTTTAACATTAGTCCCTTCAAATAATGTCCTAAAGCACGGGTGTCAAACTCAATTGTGTCATGTGCCGTATCACAACATTTTTTGCCTTTGTGGAGTTGGGATGGGCGTGGCCTTCATGTGATGCAGCCGGCCCTCGGGCCGCCAGTTTGACACCCCTATCCTAAAGCTTGATTTCTTTTCATTTTTTCTTTTTTACTTTCTCACAAAATTCTTCAAAGCATTAACACATCTCTTTTGTAAATATAGGAAAGTTATTCATGTCATTCTTTTGGGCTTTTTTACAAATTTGTATATCCTTTTTTTATTATTAAAACATAAGCTAGTTTCATTTGTATATCCAGTGTAGCATGTTTTCCATATCATTCTTGTAGTTGTCATTTTTAAATCTACTTTCATATTAGTCTCCATCTTGTCCAGTAAAACTTGTTCTTCTACCATAAAATCTTTAAACATATAAAGGCAGACACTCTTAAAATTAACTTTTTGATCTATGTTCAAAAATATCCCTCAACATGTTCAATATTAAATATTATGCTCCATTCTGTATTAGTAAGTAAAATTTAAGTAATCTTTAATTCCATCTGATTCCTTCTATTTTCTAATCTTCAAACTTTCATCCTATCATTTTTTTAAAGAGAGTTCAAAACAAAAGCATTTTCCCATAGGAAAGATTCTTATAATTAATTCCAAAATCTTATTTAACGTGGACCCTTTGTCTGTATCTTTCCAAAATGTTTGATATAGGAAAGATTGAAAAAGCTATTAAAGACCAAGACCGTGTAAAGCAAACTTTAAAAGGAGATACAAAATATAGGTACCATTCAGAATAATGTTGTTGCTCTGACTTTTCTGTATCTGTAACAGGTTGACCCTAGAGACTCTGGCTTGGAATGGACTCCTCTATTGAGATTATGTGCATTATCAGGAAAAACAGATGTAGCCACAATTTTAATAAATGCTGGAGCTAATGTGAATGTAAAAGATAAGGATGGCAAGACACCTTTGATGGTATGTTGTATTGCTAAGTAACATGTTAGAATGTTTCTCAGTAAGGAAATTGATAGAGTATTCATTGGTTCCAAACATTCCTAGGTCTCAGACTCCTCACTTCATTATTCACTGTTAATTCCACCTTAATTCACAATTGATTCAAAGGTAAGTAAGGAAATATGGATCCTCTACCTAATTCAAAATGATGCAGACAGAAAGTCTTTTTTTTTTTTTTTTGGTACTGCACATGTGCCAGTGCTGTTTTGATTATCACTTGTCTCCAAGAAAAAAGTATTGGTTTATAAATACCTGGCAACCAATGGATAAATTTTAATCAAGCACAGGAAAAATGCTTGAACATTACATCATTCTTCACATTATTATCCTGCTCTTTGCTACTGTGAAACAAGTAGTTTTCAGTCATAGCTTATTTTCCATAATAGGAGAGGCACTATTCTTTATGTTAAAGTATATGGGATCATTTGAGTGTCCCATAAATAAGACAATAAACTAAAGAATATCAATTTGCATTCTTAATCAAGCAATCAGCATGACTCTTTGTGGCTATGTGTGATGTCATTACTAATTAGTCCTAGGTATCATTAGTAATTAGTGATACATACAAAATTTTCAAGGAAAGTATTGTATATCTTTTAACATTTCTAATGAATTATAATATGAGCATAATTACCTTTGATTTGTGCATGTTTGTCAATTTATGTTCACTTGAATTTTTTATTTATTATGACTACTGCATCATTCTATACTTAGATACCTTTGATTATATACAAAAAGCAGTAAATTTATTTCAAAGTAAATGTAAAAACATTCATTTTATTTATTGAATTATATGACTGTGCACATCACCTAGATGATTCTGGATGGTTAAAAGCACAAACATAACATACTTTTTCCTTGCTAGGATAAAGCAAAGACCCCACTCATCAAAACAAAACCTTCAACAGGAGCAAAACAAACTAATCTTCTGACCCAAATATCTGGGGAAATTTGCATGGTAGTTGTTTGGTCTATATTTGTATAAACAGGTGGAAAGCCTCCAGATATCATGTATTATCTCTAATTTGTCCATAGAAACATAATCGTTGCCTGAATAAGAACATTATTTCTTACCATTACCAAGTTAAAGGCATTTTCAAAACATGACTTCATTCCTCTTAGATTTTTCCTTTCAAAGCATTTTATATCAAAATATCGTTTCTGGTTTCTTGCATGAAATAGAGTAGTCTGAGTAGACTCAGATGTTTCTTTAATGGGATGAGGCTTCTTACTCCTTCTTATTGGAAATTCATCTGTCTAAAGTGCTACATTTCTAGATGTTATAAAGATCAAAAGGCACTTTGTCATGTTTTTACCCCAATCAACATACAGTATCTGCACTTAAAAATAGGTGGGATGTGTACTTTAATGATGTGAGGAAGAGGTAGCACATATAGTATGGTTGCTGATTAATATCCAGTTCTCTCCTATAGAGGCCTATTTTACTGCCTCTATAGAACTATCAACAGAATTCTTAGAGAGCAGTGGAATTCAGTATATTATTATTTGAGAATAGATGAGTTATAATCACCTTGCAAATTACATTTTTAGGAACATACATATGTTTTAAATGTATACTACAAAGAGAATGTGTAAATGAAGTCAGTGTATTTGGAAATACTCATAATGAACAAGAAAACACATTAATGATTTCTGTTCATTTTTTTGTTGAGTGCCCAAATTTGCCACAATGAAATCCTTAGATCCATGGTTCTTGCTACTGGGTCTGCTGGCCTGCCTTTTATGCAGAAAATTGGCCATTCTTGCCTGTTTCTCTGTCTTTGGCAGAAACACAAAATTGAAAAGCAATAGAATAAGCAACGGTCAAGAATATGATATTTTGCTTATGCCCAAGGCAGAAAAGGAAGAAATCTTGATGCCTAAGTATTTCATTAATTTCTCTAGAATAACATTTTAATATTAGGTAATGCCTGTATTATTTCAGTTTCCTTATATAACAGCACTTATTGACAGAATACAAACACTGATTTTCATTGAAGAGAAAAAGAGTTGCCTATTTATTCTCTGGAGAATTCTATTTCTTTTGTATCTTTTCTGCAACTTTATGCAGAGAAACAACTGTGGGATATAAACAAACAAAAAAGAAATGGAAATTGATGAGAGGCTCATGAAGAAGCCATTTGGGATTAAAACACTCTTTTCATATGTAACTGTTTTGACTATAAATGAAACTTAACTATAAAGCCTCCTTAAAAAGTCAAGTCCAATGTAATGATCTCAATTTCTAGTGACATTAGGTACATACCTGCATACAGTAAGCGTTTTAGCAACATTAACATGAAATATTTGTACCGCTTCACAAAGCCTTAGTAATACCTGAAATACTGCATCCAGTTTTGGTTACTACATTACAAAAAATATGTGGAAAAAATGCAAAGAAGCGCAACTAAGATGATTAAGGGCCTGGGAGACAAAAACATATGATGGATGGTTGCAGGAATTGGGTATGGCCAGTCTAGAGAAAAGAAGGACTAGGGGTGACACGATAGCAGTATTCCAATATTTGAGGGGCTGCCACAAAGAGGATCAAGTCATTTTCCAAAGCACCAGAGGGCAGGACAAGACACAATGGGTGGAAACTAATCAAGGACAGAGCAACCTGGAATTAAGAAGAAACTTCCTAGAGTGAGGACAATTAACCAGTAGAACAGTTTGCCTTCAGAAATTGTAGATGCTTCATCACTGGAGGTTTTTAAGAAAAGGATGGACAGCTACTGTACGTATCTGAATTTGCTACATAAGAAATTGAAGGAATCCCTCATGTAAATAAATACACATTAGCACCTTTGCATATTTTCATTGCAAAAGGCAAACAACATATGAGATTCAGTTTATATACTAGTGGCATTTAGTATGAATTTTGTCTTGTGCAGAAAATCCCCATTAAGTTCCCCAGTTATTGAAAAACATGTAACTTTAAACTACGTATATTTCTTTCCTTGTCTTATAGGTGGCAGCTTTAAATAATCATGAAGATTTGGTTGCATTATTATTAGAGAATGGAGCAGATCCTGATATTAAAAATGAGGTATTATATTTCTCTCTCTTTCTGCAAACATATACCTACCTACATAGTATTTAAAGAGTAAGTTGAATATGTCATTTGTATGATGTGTTATTTTTCAGTTTGGTAAGGGTGCTTTGGACATGGCCAGAGGCTTGAACAGACAGGTAGGGATCCATCTTACTTGAATTACTTCTAGTTTTTGAACATTGTTTGTTCTCTGGTGATTAACTTGCTATTTTTCTCCTTTTTTTAAGAGTGTGGTTTCAATAATAGAAGAAAAGAAAAAGCAATTAAGCAACATAGCTGTTGATCTTGCATCTACCCCTTCACAGTTATTTGAAGAAAGTGCATCTTAATCTTTTTTTCTGGGAAGCTGAGACTATGAAGATTGATTTCTGCTTGTTTTCTTTTTTTCCTGTAAGTTTTTTTTATCATTCTTGGACACTTTGATTAAAATGTTTCCTTCTTGAGGATTTTTTCTGACATTTTACATGTATCTGAATTTTAAATCCGTCTGTCTTTAATGATGTTTTTATAGTAATAATATGTTCTTCTATCCTTTGGAGATTGATTTTAAATCCCAAATGCTAGTTATAATTAGCACAACTCAATATGGAGTTTGTCACATGATATGTCCTGTTGAATTTTTCACTAGCTGGATAGGAACTATGGAATCTGGGCACTTTAACTCTTCTCTCAACCATGATCCTGATTAATGTCAATGAGAATATTTACTGCTTGGAAATAATAGATGCCATTAAAGGAATATGTCTAGAACACAACAAAAACTTTTTTTTTAAAATCACCCTGCTCCTGCTCCTCTCATATGCTTATTCCCCCCTGCCCCTCCTCTGTTTTTTCAATAATCAGGCAGCAAACTGTAACAACCAGTTTATTGAAGCAACCAATGCCAGGGAGTTGCAGTGCAGGGTTTTAGTGTAACAGATTTTCTGCAATGGAACACACTGAGAATAACAATTGACAAAGTAGGAAATAGCTCATGGTCAGGATCTTGAATATAATCCTACAGACTGCTCATATCATTCTGAGTACTTAAGGACAGTGCAGCTTTACATCAGCCAGGAGTTTTGTAGTTGAACTTATATAGAGAGGCAATTGAAGCAGAAATCACAGTCCCCATAATAAGCATGCCATCCTAACAGACACTTAAGACTGAGAGAATACTACTGACTATAGTGGGATTTATTTCTAAGTAAACATTCATTGGAGTGCTCTGTTAGGGCATTAGACTGTTTAGAACTATACATGAATTTATTCCATTGAACTTAAATGAAATTCTGGTTAGATGTTTGGAATTGTATTGTAAAATACTATTTGCAATTGTATTGTAAATCGTTAATGAAATCAATGTTTTTAATTGAAAAAATGAATTTGTTCTTACATGGCCAAATGGAATTTGTATCTATAATGTAGAGTGTTCTCCAAAGACTATGTTCCTGTTTAAAGGTGAGAATGAATGTGACCAGCTACATTTATATTATTTCTGTTAAAGACTGACATCCACAAGCCATCTGAAATCTATTCAGAGTTCCATTTGGATTCAATAATTATTTTGATCTAATGAACTAGGAATGGATTCATAACCATTTTTCTTCCTGTATTCTAAAGTCACTGGAAGAAATGCTACCATTATTTTCACAGACTTTTGAGTCTAAAACCTATTCATAAAATTTGTTTGGGCATGTTTTCTACCTATATTTTGTTTTACATTGTGCAACGCACAATGCAATTTAATGTATAGTCTTATGGGCTTAGAGAGATTCCTCTATGACAGACATGTCAAACTCGCGACATCATGTGATGTCGCACAATGTATTGGGACAGTTTTGCAATTGTCGGCAATGGGATGGGCACGGCTTCTGCGTGATGCATCCGGCCTGCAGGCCAGCAATTTGACACCCCCACTCTATGACTATAGAATAGGATAAATTCTCTGGGGCAGGGAGAGGAGGACCAACCCTGAAGGAGATTTAACCTTGAAACTGCCACATCCAGTTTATAAGAATTTATTCAAAACCCCAGTTTTGGATCTCTGATGTCAGAGAAAGAAAATAGAGATAGATAAGTGGACCAACCATCAGTATACTAGGAGACAGGGGAAAGGGGAATTTTATAACCCCTAGAGCTAGAAAAAAAACCTATTGAGGGAAAGAAAAAAAATATTGCTGTTCCCTCATTTCTTTTCTGCTGACAGGCTCCAGAAAAGAATTTGGATCTCCTGGAGATGTAGAACTCTTTATACCAATCTTCAGGATTGCTCTTTCTAATCAGAAGAATAAAATAGCATAAGAGGATGTCTAAGTTTTTCATAATATTTTTGCAGTAAAGCATCCTCCCCTTATTCTTTGTGCCTCTGCGAAGGGATAGAGATAAATACCGGACGATATAAAATGGAAATGAAAGAGTTGGAAAAATAATTGGCCCATTCTCATTTATCTCCCAATTCAATATATTGCTTCAAGCTGCATTTGCTAAAACAAATTAACATTACCACTACAGCCAAGCTGCATTCAACTGAACATCTCTTGTACTTTAGCATGCAGTATTTATTCTTAAAAGATAACCCACTTTTGGAAACAGTTTGAAAGCTCTTCCTTTTTTATGCCAGAATTTCCATGTTACATCATAAGCGCACAAATCATTAAATTCAGATTCTGCCATAGTAATTGGACATGAATTTATCTCACTTGTTCTTTAACATAAGCAACATGAAAGAATCCTTCAAACTGTCTTGTTATGGAAGGATCAGTGATGCAGGATAGATCAGAACACCAAGCACATAAATAGGAAATAAAGTCTAAAAGTCAAACTTTTTCTAATCTTGTAAAGATCTAGTTTTTCTGGGCAGGTCAAGGTTCTCAATTACAATTTAAAACGAGTGATATAATAGAACTAGTGTGGTTGTTTTTAGAAATATTGTTATGATTTTGACTTTCTTATACTACTCGAATAAGTAAAACATTTTATCACTTTGGCAGAGACTTTTGTAGTCACAAATGTGTAGTGCTGATTAGTGAGTAACATAAAGCAAACACTGGACTCTCCAAAGGTATAGAAAACCTGGTGAGATTTATTCTTCTAGAGAAATATTTAGTAATTATATACCTAGGATCATCCACAGTATTAGGCAAAGTAGCTCTATCAAATGACAAATACAGAGTGTTGGTGGTAAGATGTATAGTGCTGCCTGACATGATGGATTCTGTAGGAGTAAATTCTGTAGTATTTAACTAGATTAATTGGCTTTAAATGTAGAGTAGGATCAAGGTCACTTTGTCCTTTATCTCAGGATTCAGAATGTCTTGGTCCAGCTTTGTGTTACAAATGTTAAGGCCTAACTTTTTCCACATACAGGAAAAAAACCCCCAACTTCTGCATAGTTGCCACAAATAATTTTATTTGAGACTTTATCATAATAAGAATATGAGCACAGTCTACTGAATATAAATTGGAAATCTTACCAAGAGAATTTGCTCAACAAATACTAATTTATGAAAGCCAGTTTTGTACAGCAGTTAAAAGCACTGAGCTAAAACATATTGCAGTTAAAAGCACCCAAACTAGCTGGGTGACTTTGACTCAATTACTTTCTCTCAGCCCTACACCCAAACCACTTTAAAAAAAAAAATGTAAAAAAACACAAAACAACCTACAGTGTCTTCCCAAGCAGAAACGAGTGATTCAAAGGTACAAAGAACTCTTATTATCCAAATACTGTATTTATATTTGATTTGTGTGTGTGTGTGTTTGTGTGTGTGTCTTCAAGTCAGTTTTTGACACCTGGTGACTGCCTAGACTAGCCCTTGGTTTTTCTTGCCAAGGTTTTTCAGAAATGGTTTGCCATTGTCTCCTTTCTATGGCTGAGAATGAGTGACCAACCCAAAGTCACCCAACTGACCCTGTGCCTAAAGGAGGCCTAGAACTCACAGTCTGCTGGTTTCTAGTTCGGTGTTTTTCACCATCACACAAAACTGGCTCATTTGTTTTTATTCTAGTTGGGGTTAAAATTATTATTATTATTGTTGTTGTTGTTGTAGAAGTTTTATTGGTTTTTTACAATAACAATCTTAATGACTGGTGTACCGCGCATTGTCTGGGTTCATAATTTTTTTAGAAAAGAATATACAATTAATAATAGTTAATAAACAATCAATAATAATTAATTTTTATATTTCCATAATTAGTATATCAATTGATAATATATTTCCTTGATCTTCTCTTCACCCAATAGTATTCTCCTTCTACAATATTAAACAAATATAATTTCTAATATTTGATATTTTCCATATTTAAATGATTAAATGACTCTTACAAAAATAAAATGCTATATATAGATGCTAATATTGTTGATATAAATATAGGGGTTAAAATTAATTGATCAGATTCACAGTATTTGGTTCTAAGCTTTCTAGGTTTATGTTCACAAAATTACAAATTCAGTTGGTTAATGAATTGTGCGTCCAAATCATATTCAAAATGTGCCTATCATTTTAGAAACTGCATAAAAGTTCAGATCCAGAACACTAAACACACACACACACACACACACACACACATAGAGAGAGAGAGAGAGAGAGAGGGAGGGAGAGAGAGAGAGAGAGAGAGAGAGAGAGAGAGAGAGAGAGAGAGAGAGAGAGAGAGAGAGAGAGAGCTTGATAGTATATATCTAGGGTTGTGTAAAGCATTTGATAGAATGCTTCATAAAGTATATTGACATGAAAGTGTTTCTCTTCAAAACTCGGAAACAGCAATGTCTTCTGGTAGGCTCAGTAAGGCTGCTTGAAGGCTTTTTGTGGTAATCTCTACATGAATTTCACTTTGGGGCGGTCTCAGCCAAATTGTTTTCTGTGAATTGTGCAATATTGTCTGAATAAGTCTCCAACAGCTGGGTCCAGGGACATTACTACTTCTATCCTCCAAAGAAGGGTGTTTTCACACTATCAATGCACTTTGAATAATATTCTTTTGAATACTCTGCAGCATTATAAATGACATCTGCCATATAGAGATTTTTAGAAACAGCAGCCCCATATGATAGTGGTATATAAAACAAGTTCACAACAACTCTGTGCAGCAGGGATAGGAAGCCTGAGGCTTCTTTGTTGATGTTGGATTTCAGTTAGATTGCAAAGCAATAAGAGAAAATAAATTTAGAGTGGCTATCTAGCTTGTCTAAATTATTTTCATGTACAGAGGTGAGAGAGAGCCTGAGATCTTTCTCAGGCTTTCTGAGGTCAAAGCATTTCTGTAGAAGTAGATAGCTACAAGATATAGCCAATAAGCAGCAAAGGATTTTCTCCTTCTGCTTTTTAATCCTGTTTTCTAGTTCAGAAAAATAAATATGTCCGATAAATCCATTTGTCCTGATGACTTTAATCATTATTTCAATCACAGTAGCAAAGATTTGCTATCATTGAGAAATTTATTGTTCTCTCAGTCAAGCTCTTAACAGCAGCAACAAATTTATACACAATATAAATTATAATATATGAATAGCATAAACAATATTAGTAGCTTAATAAACACTTCTCTTCCTTCAGGCTGATAATGCTGTAATTACATTTTAATTTTCTTCCAACTCTGTCAATTAACACCTTCACATTGAATAAAAGTTAACTTAGTATCTTATCTGTTAGCAGAAAGCTATTGTTTATCTTTCTACAATTGAAATAATGTGATTATTTTCATATATTTTTTGAGAATGATAAAAGGCTAGTAGTTGATTTCTAAGCTTCTTTTCAATATTTGTTGTGAACACAGTACTCAGCACTGAGAAATTCTTTAGTATATAAAACAAATGTATCTTTAGCTTCTAATGAAATAGTTATTTAGACTTTTTCCCCAACTTATTTCTGTAGCTCTATACTGTATATGGCATATTTTTCAAGAAGACATAATGTTTTATTCTGAAGACATACTGTGATCTTAGAACCTCTGTGCACTCTGAGTTGCATAGAATTTTGACCCAACAAATATTGTCTTATTAGGTGAACAATATAAGAAATGCTTAGTGTGATGTCTTCTCTGCCAAAGAAGAAATTGATAAATTTAGCTGCCAAACTACTTTTTTCCTAACATTCTGAGGCCATACTTATTAAATAACTTCAATATGCATTAAAAATCACAGACTTTAAAGAAATTTTATTCCTCAATAGGTCTATATATGACTGAATTCTTAAATGTACTTGATTTATAAAGTATGCCCTATTTGAACTGCAGAGTAAATAAACATTTATTTCCTCAATAAATCTCAATTTGCAAAATCATTTAATAAAATAAAAAATAACAGATAACTAAATATGTATTTACAATTTATTTGATATAAAATACTTAAAAGAAAATATCCTAATATTGAAATATATTGACATACTGTAGTAATTTTTATAAAGTCTGGACAGAAGGAAGACAAACTGTAATATAATGCTGTATATCAAATAAAGCAAGTATAATTGTAACCACTATAGAGATCTATTTCATAAAAATGAATGCACTGGATTCTAATATACATTTATAGTATATAGAATTATTTTGTTAAAATAACCCTATACACATTAATTAGAACAACTGATTTCATTTAATGTAAAAATGTTTCAAGGATCACAATATCAACAGTTCAAATTATACATCAGTTGCTATTCCTCTAGTAAAGAACAAATGGCGTTAGGATTTTTTTTGTTCCATAGGATGAGTCCTAAAGGCAGCTCACATTGCATCTCATGCATCCTATTACTTGCTGTAAAACATATCTGAATAATAAATATTCCGCATAATTTTTTTTATTTTGGGATAGGTGTAATTCTAAAATTGCTGCATCTGCTTTCAAATCTCCTGTCTTTTCTTGTTGCATTACCATTAATTTCAAAAATATTTTTTTATTTACTTATAGTTCATTTGCTGGAAAGTCAGCATATTATATGCAGTTAATATATAAGCACAGATTATCAGTTTAGATTTGAGTTTGAAGGTACCTGAAAGTTATTAATTCTGCTGTCTTCTACGTTTACACCCACAGATTCCAGTCCTATACTTTGGCAGAGTAGAAAATAAATCCCTCCTTTTAGATGTCCGAAGAATGGTAGTGTATCTCTCATCAATCTTTCTCAGAACTTTCAACTGTTGTATATTGGGCTAGTTTCCACAGTCTTCAATATCTTTATAACTCTCTTTTGAACTCATTCCAATTTGCTATTGGCCTTTTTTGGAACTGTAGTATCCAGAACAGGACATGGTATTCTATGTCCATTGCTTTTTTTCTTTTTATATTAAATGTAGTTATCCCACCAATTCTCAGTTATTTATGGGAATGTAAAATTATTTGTATCTAAAGTAGAAAATGTGGTTCAGAGAGAGTTTGAGGGTGCTTGTTGCAGCTGCCACCATCTTAAAGATGTCCTAGCTTTTTGTGGATTCACACAGTAGCTATGCGGTCCCAGGAAAATGTTTGCACTAAGGAGCTAATGACAGAGACCTAAAAAATCAGCTGTGCTCATGCTTTATCCAAATGAACAGCTTGTTCTTTACTTCTTAGAGTCTATTTTTCTGCTTTTTGGCAGAAAAAATACAACTCAGTACTAGGTGAATTGATTTAAGAATCTGAGAGGCAGATAGAGGGTGCAGGCAGGGATTCTTACTGGATCTGCTTCAGCCAGAATGAAGTGGGTGTAATTGGCTACAATAGTGCTGGAATCAGTCCCACCAGGGCTGTTATTCCTAGATGCCCCTAGCTCTTTTTCTCCCTGTTCATCAGAAAGCAAGTCCAGCATCATGATCATGACCATACCGAATCATCTTTTGGAAACATGAGGGCTGGAGAATTGCCTCTTTTTAAAGCCGTAACCTCCAGGTATGGAGATTCTCAAACCACCCATCCCCTTTCCCCCCCAAAGCATAGCTTCCAATGACATGAGATTTGCTCTTAAGCTGTAGGAGTTCCCAATTGTTTGGAAAGAATACGATGGCTTAATATCCTGCACATCCTAAGATGCCCCCTGTGCACACCAACAAAGCCATGATGGTGGGAAGCTTTGCTGCCATCCATTGAAAACATCACAGGTTGGTCTAGGCACTTGCTTTCTTCAGATGAGGTCTACAAATATCCTGTTGGGAAACTAAGGAGCGTTTTGCCTTGGAAGACTTGGTTTCAGGAAATACTAATGTTACAGCTCCAGCTATAAAATTAAGATGATTGATATGCTTTGTTGTAATTAAGAAAAAATTCTCTTCAGTTTACTGATACTTTTGTTGACTCCTTTTGTGACAGAATAATAGTAACAGACACATAAAACCATGTTTCTTCTCACTTATAAAATGTTAGATAAGATCAAATTGACTTGATCATCTGCTGATTTCGGTTGTGATATATATTTGACCTCTGCCTAACATACATTATGCACATTGCACATGTTCTGAAGTCTAATATTAACTGTCATCTACACAGACTGATCTTATTTCTCATGCAGTAGTACCCAACAAATGCCTGTTAGATTGGGGCACTAAGAATGCATAGAGTCTTCTAACTGAAGGTTATATCTCTTAAATAGTTTTGCTTACACTTTTTTTATAAATAGAAAGGAAATAATGATGGGAAATTAATGTTAGTACCAAAGAAAGAATAAGTCTTACATAGTTCAATATTTTTATAAGCATTCTCTTCCTGGGATTATTGCTAGATGAAATAAATGTCATCTTTTTAATAAGTAATTATGAATTTATTTTGAGTGACAGTCAAATAGAATTAATTTTCATGGAGAATGGTGGGTCAAAGCCCTCAGAAAACCTAAATCTATTCAAGAGGCATGAAAGATAAAGAATACTAATAGCACTTGGCAAATCTCATTTTAAAAAGCTGAATTTTACAATCATCAATAACTTCCTACTTAGCATAAATATTGCATTAATATTTTCCAAAATGTCTTATAAATTAAAATATCAATAATTACATAGTAACATATGCAAAGTTTATGAACCAAATTGTTTCCTAGATAATTCCATTTTGCTTTGTTTTGAGATATGGATGTTTTTACCTGGTTTCTTCATAGGCATCACTGCTGTTGTTGCCTAAATACAGAGCATAATAATTGGAAAAGTTAAATTATGTATCAAAAAGAAATAAAGATCATTAGGTGCTGGCTCTCTTTATTAAGAAGCAAAGATTAGTGACTTTGGAAAAGAGCATGTTGCATATATAACTGGAATTACGAAAAGGTCTGGAAACTAAAAGCAATTTGATGTATTAACAGATAATATTATCAGTCAATTTATAATAATAGGAAAGATGTAAAATATAGGGATTCAATTGGTTATGTATTTTTAAGAGAAAGGAAAAAATAAATGTAGCTCTATCAATAAAAATAGTTATTTTTTATAAAATTGCTAAACCAAGGACAAATACATTTATCTTATGCTTCCCAGCTGCTGTTTGGACTAAAATAATTTTAACAATATCTTTTAGATGGTAAGTCAGTATATCCATGCTGCTAATGAAATAAGCCTTGATTTTCTCCCCTGCTAGTTAGCAGGGGAGAAAAATCAATGGTAGAGACTTTCTGACCATAAACAGACAGCAGATGAAAAAGCCCCCATTTACATAGAGGCATGGGAAGTTCAATTTTAGGTAGACAAATGGGAAATGATCTTACTCCTCTCTTAGAAATCTAAGTGATCCGTGCAGATAGTACTGGGATAGATGAACTCAAAATTTGCCATTTTCATAAAAAGCACTAGAATTCTATCCTCTTAATTGTGGTCCTTTATGATTGGAGATGATCCGAGCTGTCTTCAGGTAATGAAGGCTCTCTCATCTAAGAAATGAACACTGTCCCCTAGAATCAGACACGACTGGACAGGGGAAACCTATACCTTTTCTGTTATAGCTAATTTCAGAGCTACATCTTTAGTCACCGTGCATTAAACCAATGAACAGAACATTCAGCATAAGCGGTAAATATGAAAATGTTTTTTAAGTGTTGAATTCTTCAAATTTCTTGGCGTGCAACAGCCCGGTATAAGAACTAATTAAATTATTTTTATAAAATAAGTGGACATAAGGAGATGAAGAATTAAAAGTGATGATATGACAGAGTCACTGACAGAGTGAAAATAACAGAGGGTCTATGAGAAAGACAAATGACTGGATGAATGAAGATATTAACTTTGGTCTTAACCATCAGTGTCATCGCCACTCAGTACTTGGCTACTAAATCTGGGCTGCAGAAACTTGGATTATTACCAAGAGCTGCAACAACAACAGAATGAGTTGTCTGTCTCCTTGCTGCCATCTAGCTATCTGCTATTTTTCAGCCGAAATATGGTAGCTTAACTCAAAGCAGTACCTCTACGAATCTAATTTTTGTAAGTGCTAAATACGGTACTCTCAAGACATTGTTATGGGTTTTTGCAAAATATTTTATTGTGTTGATTTTTTCTTTTAGTGCGTAAGTCTAAACAATGCATTTTTGTTACTGTGCACAGCTGTTTATAAGAAATATTTTTTGAAATATGACTTCTATAGTAATATGTTTTTAAAAAGTAAAAACTCCTATCCCATGCTGAGTTACTTGCTATTCTGTACATGAAACCATCGTATAAATGGAAGGTAAGCATCTGAACTGGGTGCGTATTACAGAACTATAAAGCTACCTATAAGTTTTGTGGCTATATGGTCTGTTGCACCACAGAGTAAGAAAAAGTCAAGCACCTTGTGCCGTATTGGTGGAAACTAATCATCAAAGTGTGAGCCTCGTGTGCATTGTTGTGTGCATGTAGATGTGTATATATGTATGCTTGCATACATACAAATACATAAACACTGAGAAGACTGAAAAGTTTGAAAATGCATTATGATAGAAATTACACACCATTTCTACTTAAACTGGTATTCAATATACAGTACTTTAAAAGCTATTTGAAAATCTGTACACTGTCTTGGAAAACAGGCATTTAACATTACAGTACAGTGAGTTAGGATATACCATTGTGGCTAACTATATTTCTGTGTATTACAAAAAAGAAATAACTTGTGTTAGTACAATTTATCTGAAGATTTCTCTAACCCATTCTAATTCTGGAACAGAGAACTAACATGTTATAGAACTGAAATAAATATTTATAAGAAATATACTTGAGATTCTGGTACAATTAAAAATGGATTCTGGGTACTGGATAAAACTGCTGATCTTGGGATAGGTATATAAGCCTCAGAGATAATTCAGTGTATATTTAACGTACATCTGTATCATGGTGATGGAGATGAGTTTTGCACAAATCACATTTTGTATTATTTTCTCCAAAAATGGTTATGTTCCATATGCACAGTTCATTAGAGGTAGATTGAACTTCCATTTGGTACTTGCATAATCACAGTGAATTTTTGGTTGCATTTGCTTTCAAATTATGAGAAAATCTCACAATATTCCTTGATTTTTGCAAATAGTATTTTTCCATCTTTCTAATGGAATATCAATAGGAAAAGCACTGGCAGTTGTTTACTTCACTTTCCTTTAAATTATACCCCCCAAATTATATTTTGCCTACATATTTTGGCAAACAATAAAAAAGTTTGAACTTTCATTGGGCCCTTGATCTCAGCAATTTTATTTCAGTTCTAGTCAGCATCCTGCAAATAACAGATCTAAACTGAACAACAAACACAGAGAGGTATTATATAGCCTGCTGTGGAATTTAAAATGAAAGATGGTTCAAGACTGCTTAAACATCATAAAAATGGCTTCCATCCTAGGAAAACCTGATTATGATGAAATAATATTTACTACAGTGCTCTGCACTGTAATAAATATCAGTATAAATTAATAATTTATAAGTACCTGAGCAAGGACGCAGACCACCTTTACACAGTATAGCACCAAAGGCAGTAGCTCAGAATTCTTAAAACAATGGGATATAGAACATTAACAATTCTATTGGTTGATATAAAAATATTAATTTCCAGCTGAAAAATAGTGCAAACTTCTATTTTTTCAGAATAAAAATGGTGTTCGGTTTTTTCATTTCATATAGGCAGCATTGCAGTGCCTAGGCACTTGAAGTGGAGGTTTTGGTGCAGGCCTGTTCAACAAAATAGGGTTAAGGGACAAAAAAACAAAATAAATTAATAAATATTAGGAATTACTATGAAGATATTTACTTACTTATTAAATAAATAATTGCTACTTATAGGGATGGGCATGCTATAGTTTCAGGTCACATAGACCACTTTTGAATCCCATCTATCTGCACCATCAAATTTAATTTCAGAAGGCTGCAGATGAGTATGTGTGTATATATATGCATGCGTACAGCTGAACCCAGGACAAGAGATTTTGCTGCAACAGCAGCTCATGACCTAACGGCCACCCATTTGGATTATCTCAATAGGTTCTAGATGGGGTTGCCTTAAAAATGGCCCAGAAGCTGTAAATGGTCCAGAATACTGTGGCACATTGGTTCCCTAACATCTGGCAGGAGCATGTTATACTACTGCAGTGCTTGCACTAATTACCAATAAGCTTCTGAATGCAATTTAAACTGTTGCTTTTAACCTATAAAGCCCTGAGCTTGGTACCAAGTTATCTTCACAATCTTCAGCTAGAATCACCCTGACCAAAATGACCTTTGTGGGAGAAGTAGCCTGTGGTTTTCCCACTTTGGGGAGGTGAAGGTAGTAGTTATATAGCAGGTGTCCTTTCTTGGTGGCAATGTTTGCCCTTTGGAATAATTGAAGTTAGATTTGTTTCCTCCCTGCCTATTACAGGAATAGCTTAAAAGAACTCTTGCATAGAACATTGGGTGTGATGTCTTTCATTTCGAATGACTTTCAATTATATTTTATTTTTAAATTTTATATATATATATATATATATATATATATATATATATATATATATATATATATATATGCGATTAAAAAGGTTAAAAATATGAACCCTGGGAATATTCATAATGAAAATATAAAATGAGCACCAGGGTAATAAAAACTATAAAAGTTTTTAATAAATTAAAACCATAAAAGTTTTAAAAAGCGCCAAGCTTTCGCCGTCACCTGCCGGCATCCTCAGGGCTGGCGTGCCAGAGAATGAGAAGGTCTTTTATAGGCGTGTCGAGGTCTGCGCCCGGCTCCTCGATCTTGTTATCGGGCCTAATTGGTTCAGCCGTGTGCAATTAACCTGTGCTTCTTTTCTCTTTTTGGTTGCGTTTTTATCCTCATCCGTCTCCAATTCTCCCAACTCTGGATTAGCTAGATGGCAATTGCAGTTATTTCGGTTGCCTTTATATTCTAACCTCCCCTTAGGCTCAGGTGGTAGTGCACATTGCACATTCTTTCCAGTAACAACTGGACAAGATATGGTGGAAAAAAGAATGTGGAATGTGCACTACCACCTGAGCCTAAGGGGAGGTTAGAATATAAAGGCAACCGAAATAACTGCAATTGCCATCTAGCTAATCCAGAGTTGGGAGAATTGGAGACGGATGAGGATAAAAACGCAACCAAAAAGAGAAAAGAAGCACAGGTTAATTGCACACGGCTGAACCAATTAGGCCCGATAACAAGATCGAGGAGCCGGGCGCAGACCTCGACACGCCTATAAAAGACCTTCTCATTCTCTGGCACGCCAGCCCTGAGGATGCCGGCAGGTGACGGCGAAAGCTTGGCGCTTTTTAAAACTTTTATAGTTTTAATTTATTAAAAACTTTTATAGTTTTTATTACCCTGGTGCTCATTTTATATTTTCATTATATATATATATATATATATATATATATATATATATATATATATATATATATATACATACATACATACATACATACATACATACATACATACATACATACATACATACATACAGGTCTTTGGTTGTTCGGGTTTTCTCCCGCGTAAAATTGGAAGTGTCTTGGCAACATTTCGACAAAGTCCCATTTGTCATCTTCAGGCTGGTGTTTTCAGCTTCGTGCTTCAAGGAGCAATGTGTGGTCTTAGCTGTTTCTTCCTTTTAACTGCCAGTGGGGGTATGAACTGATTGGGTGGGAGCTTGGCTGTGCTCTGATTGGCTGGGGGGTTGGCTGTGCTCTGATATTGTGTTAGGGAGTCGTTTGTCAATAAGGGCAGGTTTCCAAATGACTCCCTAACACAAAAAATGACACTAGACCCACACTCACAAAAACCACACAGGATGTCACCACCACACATCCATGCAAAAAGCAAACCCAAAGCCACACTGATGATGAGGCACGACCACAAACCAGAAACCAGATCACAGCTGCATCATTAGCCACTTTAAACCCCTCCAATCCATACATGAAGCAAGCTGACACCCTCCATGAAGATGAGGCACGACCATGAACACGAAGCCAAAAAATAGCAAGGCAGCCCACCATCTTAAACTCCCCTGCAACTCAGACTAACCTGAGCACAACCAAACAGAACACTCCCCCAGCCAATCAGAGCACAGCCAACCCCCAAGCCAATCAGAGCACAGCCAACTCCCCAGCCAATCAGAGCACAGCCAAGCCCCTAACCAATCAGAACACACCTCCACCCAATCAGAACACAGCCAAGCTCCCACCCAATCAGTTCATACCCCCACTGGCAGTTAAAAGGAAGAAACAGCTAAGACCACACATTGCTCCTTGAAGCACGAAGCTGAAAACATCAGCCTGAAGATGACGAATGGGACTTCGTTGAAACGTCGCCAAGACACTTCCAATTTTACGCGGGAGAAAACCTGAACAACCAAAGACCTACATACAAACACCCATGAAAACCTCAGAAAACAAATACACACACACACACACACACACACACACACACACATACATAAACAATAGGATATCAATATAAATGTGATCATAATATTGGAATATCATTTTATTCTGATCATTGCCATCTCTAAACCACTGAAGAGCTGGGACATTTTTATCTCTTTAGCCTATGTGTTAAAAGTCTTAAAATTATGATTTGGTGGGATGAGACAAGAAGTGATTTTCTACATTATTAGAACCTGCTAATACTAAATAGTCAAGATTCAGGGCAGAGAAAAGGAACTTTTTTCATTGTGTACTGCCAGTCTGTGATGGCTCGATTTATGCTGAAGTTGATTCTCCTGTGATATATTTATTGCAAAATTAAACAACTTTGTGCATCATGATGCTCATAAAACCTTATTTGGATAGTTTCCATTAAGAGTTTAGTGTGAAACGTACTAAGAGACAACCAAACTAACCTGACAGGAGCAATTTGAGGCATAGGTTTTGGAAGCTCAAACATTGTCCGAGAAGCAGTATTAATCTGAATAGCTTTGTTCTTCTGAGGATTAGCTGGCAAAGGCTTCTGAGGAGGACTTGGCTTGCAAGATTCCTACAATTTGGGAACAAAATCACAATATTGTTGCAGTTCATTGATTTATACAAACATTTCTTTTATAGATTTGATCCATGTCAATGATAAAATACCGAAACGTTGTTTATTATGAAAGGTATTGTAAAGAATGTTACTAAACAATTCTTCACAATTGTGTAGTTATAGTTTGTGATAATTCAGACAAAAACTGGAGCTCTCTTTGATTCAGCATCTAATGTTTCTATTATTATCCATCATCCTGCCCATCCCTCATAACATGCTTTAGTTGAAACAAACATTTGCATTATATGAGTTTCTATGATTTCTGTTTCTAGTAAATAAAAAAAACATTAAGAAAAAATACAGTCAGGAAGGATTTCTTGGAAAGTATTCAGGGCAGGTAAGAAAGAGTGCAACAAAAATGCACGGCTTTTTTTAATATTCAAAGCTATCTATCAAATCTTTTAAAATGCTTTGCCTACATAAATCTGTTCTTTATTTCAAAAGGAGAACATGACAAGGTACCTACCTAATAAATGTGCCAAGAGCAGAAACACAAGAAGATCATTGTGTACATCTGTCATTGGGACATTTCCAAATTATAGCAATTTAATATCACTTTTCTGCCAAGCAGCCTACTAAATGTTATCCTGTCATAGCTTATACCATGGCCCTTTTCCTATTAACTGTCTTGAAAATAAAATCCAAATTCTTATCAATTCTCATATTCCCCAAAAGGATGCAAGAACCAATAAGCATTTTTATCAATAAAGCACAATAAGTCAGTGCCAGAGGTAAGGCATAACTTCAATAAAATGTAAAGTTAAATAGAAGTCTGGTTTATGAATTATAAAACTGGTGATATTTACATCTAGACTCAAGAATGAATACAAATATCAAATGCATTGCTATTTTTGTTATTTTGATTTATATCCAGCCGTTCTGTCCATAGGACACTTGAATAGGTGGTGCTTGGTTAATTGAAGTGTTTTCTTAAATGAACAGTTATAATCTGCAATAAACTCATAGCAGAAAAGGCTGCTATTAAAATTGCATCTGTAATGGAGATTTAAAATTACTAACTTTTATAACAGAAAAAAATATTAATTTCTATGCCATGTCTTCTGACACAGATACATAGAGAAGAAATATTTCTAAAATATTTATTATGTTATAAATCATGGCTGTCTTTTTGTAGTTTCCAGAGCACAATAGACATTTTAAATATATACTGAATATTTTGTCATGAAGGAAATGGCTCCATTTTTTTTACTTTACTGTAATTTGTTCATTTTTAGTAAGTACACAGTTTCTGAAAATGGCAAAAAAAACAATCTGAACTCAGAATACAATTGTAAAAATTGGACTTCTACCTATATGGATGCTTGTTTGTGAGGCACGACAACAATATTATTCAATCCTTTTATCAATAGTCTTGCAGAGGATGAAATTATAACAGCATTGTACCACTTATTTATTTATAATTTATCAAATAAATAAACTTTGTTCTCCCTTAGGCATGGAAGCTGACTAGGTAACTCACTCTGGGTTTTTGCTCTCTCTTACTCACCTCACTTTTTTTATATTGTAAGGAGAATAGGTGGAGGGAACATTATATGTGCACCTTCAGTTCTACAAAATAAAAGGTCTTATAAATCCAGTAAATTAATAAATATGTTGGCTTTATTCTTCAATCAACTGAAATCTATAATTATACCTATATCAGAGATGGAACAGAAAGACAGTGGGTATTATCTGTGAGTGAGATGGACAGTAGATAAATTAGATAATAAATGGGGAAAGTCATGCTTTTAAGAATTCTACATTATAGTCTTCATTGGGTATTATTTATTTGCTTGTGTTTATGAACTTTATTTGACTGAAACCATCCCGATTCTTAAGGCTCCAGGCATCAGACTCCACTATATTATTAGGAGGGAAAAACTAGAGTAAACTTGCAGATATTTGTGGCAACTTATTCTTAATTCTAAATTTGAGTTTCGCTAGATCTAGTCAAAGGCAGGCTTAAGATGGAAGAAACATGATTTGGAATAATATTAAGTTGCAGGCCTAAATAACAACTAACAATGTGCTTGTACTGCATAGTTAAACCAGAACTTGCAGATAAGTGAAGTAACATAATCACATACTGTAATTAACTGACCTACAGTTTTGTTTGTTTGTTAGCTTATTACCAAGATGCATGGACAGTGGTGATTTGGTCAAACTGCTATAATCATTAAGGACATTAAGTTCATTGATAGCGGGATCTAGTACTGACTATGTTGTCTCAAAAAGCAAAAGTTAGCTTCATATGTACCCACATAAACACCTCATACTGCCTTAATATGAATAGAAATACAAATCAGGCAACTAATAATGCTAAAGATAAATTATGAAGAGGGAAAATCCTCTGCAAGAATCCACGAATTCTCTAGTTTCCCTCTAAGCAAAATGGCATTTTTATAGTCTGGCTCAGACAATACTAGGGAAGCGGATGAACAAAAACAAGATCAAAGTAATTTTAGTACAGAGACTGTGGCAATTGCTGAAAAAAAGCTGCCAGCTGCATCATACCGTTCCAGCCTAGTGCTTGCAGAAGATAATGAGGTGGTATCATAATTAACACCACTACATTTAGGAGGTTTGTAAACAGCAGGAGATGGAAAATATTGTACAATTCATGTTTCTTTCAAAACATCTAGGTTTGTGGACTGACTAGACAGATTCCATCAAAAAGTTATTCTACTGTGTCCTGATTTTTGAAGGAATGTGAACGCTTGCCAAGTCGATGCCAGTTTTTTTTTCAGATGTAAGATCTCCAAATAGGTAGATAAAGTTTAAACATGGCAACTTCAGAATTATGAAAATGTTACAAATCAAACTTTTATAGATTTTTTCAAGCTAGAATTTATGTGAAACAAAACCAGCAATGTACTTTTAATAGTTCTTACAAAATGCAGTTGTGTGGATTGGTTCAATGATTCAAATGTTATTGTAACCCTCAGAAATTATGCTGGGCTTTTGAGGCTGGCTGTACCCTCAAATGCGTTCAACAAATCAATGGAGCTGTAATCAGAACATGTGAAGTGGTTAGGCTACCATCCTAGCAAAAGAGCAACAATAACACCAAGCAACAACAGATGGAAGCAGGCTGACTCAGGCTCAGAAAAGAATAGCTTTCACCAAATTAAACTGAACAAATTAAAAGGTTGCAGTCTGGGAACCAAACATATAGCCGGCAAAACCTTAGGACACTGGATGCTGTCCTAAGATATGCAGTTCTAGACAGGGCCAACTACATATGACAGCTCATTTTCAAATTTATTCCAAAACAGAAATTTCATCAGTTGCAGTCAAGCCCTGTGATGCCATTTCTTCTTTTCAGAAGTGTTTCAATACATTTATGTATGTGTTTTAACACATATATTTTTCACAATATTCATCCAATTCGGTTAAAAAGCATATCCAGCTCATGGTGCAGAAGTATCTGCAGAGGGATAAATGACGAAAGGAATATTGTGTCATAATCCCCATTTGCCATTGTGTATGCACTGTGATGTCAGATATGTACAAAAGAGGCAGAGCTTACAATGCAATGATATGATACCTGTTGCATCATTTGATGACGGTGTACAATCCTGCAGATGCCTCTACCACATTGGTTTCCTGGATGAATCAGCTGAGAGCATAGGTTGAACACAATTTCTTATCTGTGGAACCCTGCTAAAAGTACTCATATATAATATCAATTATTTAAAGACTAGTGACATCCAGCTCTTCTGACCCAAAGTGACAATATGCCTTGGAGAGGATATTGATATGCTAACTGCATCTTTCAGCACTCCCTTAAAGAAGCTTCAGCTTGTTTATGTTTCAATTATGAAAGCACCAATAGAGTGTGACATTATCAGTGTACCTTGTCACTGCTTCTTTAATGTCTCTTTAGTTCAAACATGTTTTCTGTGATCATGTAGCTGGTGCAAATGCAGAAGAAGCAGGTTTTTTTGCTTTGAATGGTACACTTCTATACTACTGCTCATCTTGAACAATGACCCTCCCATTTTACAGATCTGGTGCCAATTCTTCCACACTGGCAATACCATTGCAAGACCTAATAATGACATGTACAAGCACAGTCATGTGATTTTGCTTGGAGAAAGAAGCAAAGATGGAAGACATTGTCCTGGCATTGTCACTGTCAAGTAAGGGTCAGGGTTCAAGATGACCTGTAGTGTAGAAGTGCACCTATTTTTATTTATTTTATTATTCATTTATTAATCAAATCGGTATAGCTGCTGTTCATTTCCTTAAGCATGCTTGGGTTTTAACTTCACTTTTTGAGGTTTTTATTTTATTTTGCTTTCTATAAAAGTTGACCGGCTGGTTGAATGATGATTTATTTTAACCTTTTGCTGGATTTTCTTTTTTTTCTCTTTCCCTTTGATTTATGTTGTTGTTTGGAATAATGTTTGTTTTTTTGTAAGGAAAACGGTGTGTTCTGGGGTAGTGAAAGCATTTCCATTTGGTTTATTTCTATATTGGACTCTCACTACAGTGTTTTTTGTATTTTGCTAATTTGTAAAATGTTTGGAGATTATGTTTTGAATTCTTTTCAAAAAATTGGATCAAAATATCTGGAAAATATCTTTCCTACTTTTTAAGTATTTTTTTTCATTCTGAGGATTCCTGTTTTTTTTTATTTATTGTTGCCAAGTTACACAGAACAACAATGTATCAGGTTACAGACAAACATGTGGTTGATACTTGACAAAAGGCTGATAATATGCAATACTCATTTGAAAGCTTTTTTAAAAAAAGTTTGCTGAAATGATAATGGTTGTGGAAAATATTCAGATGCATCTAGCTGTAGATAAATTAGACTCACAAAAGAAATGTGATCTGAAAGCAGTAGATTCACTGGAAAGAAATATGAACTCTACAGACTTAGAATTCACAGACCTAGAACTAACTGAGTCAATCCCACATGCCTCTCTGAAGTTCAAGCCTGCATTCTTTTACAACAGCAGAAACCTGACTAAGTGGAGAAGTGATAAATTGGCTTTCCCTAAGAACATTGAAGGAGTTTGGGAAATGGATTTATCACATTTATCTGCAAAACAATTCCATCTGGATGTTTTGGGGAAGATAGGCAGACTGTGGAGGTTGGATTTATTATATTTAACCAGAGAACAATTAATAAGAGCTGGTGTTAAGAAACAAATGTGGATATTTGATCCAGGATGAATCACTGTTATCTTTTGGGAGATTTGGAATAGATAATATGCCATGATAAATCATCTATGAGTTGATTACAGTTTGTTAACAGAGGGTTTTGAAACTTTACCCTTGCTTTTCTTATTATTGCTCTTCCTGTTAATTATTTGTTCATTAATATAGCATATAGATATCAGGCTAATAGACTGCAAATAGATTTAGTACGTAGTTTAAAATTTTGGAGGGCCTGTTTCACAAGGGGTGGAAAACTACCCCTTGTGAAATATATATTAAACAATATCAATACATTAATTATTACTATGATTACTATATATTAATTACTATATATTAATTCAATAACATATTAAACTACTCAACTAGGGGAGATAATATGTGTGCATGTGTTAGGTTTTTTTGAATTCACTTTTTAAATGTTTTGTTCGTTTTGTGACTTTTTTGTTCATTTTTTAAAAATTTTTTTTGAGGTTTTGTATTTGTATTTTAATTTTTTTAATAAAATAAAAATAGAAAAAAATGGTATAACTGCCATCTGATAAAAACTGACTCTGGGCAGTATACAAGTGCATACTGCTTCACTTCAAAAGTGAAGAAAAAACAAGCGGAAAAATAACATCTACTGCCCTTCTTTGAATTTTATGTGGAATTGGTTCACACTGTAAGAAAGGCACAGAAAAAGTTATTTCACAGAAAGTTAAAAAACCAACCAACCAATCCCCTCTGACACAAGGGCCATAAAATGGCCTGGATTTGGAATCTAGAATTTAAACAGCTACTTGACAGCATGTCACAAATATTGTAACATTGGCATTGGAGGAAGACATGCTGAGGTTGACTAGGAATGATCAGATGAACTAGAATTAATTCTGATCAGTGTGGCCATTCAGAATGAAATCAACTAGTAAAGAAATGCCCAAAGAAATCAAGACTGGAACTGCTGAAGGTTTTCTTGATTGCAGCAGGTGATAAGACAGGTAGAGATAAAAGAATTAGAAAGGGCTATTTATTCTTCATTCAACAGCAAGAAATCTCAGTTTCGTTTGGGTCTCCAGAATTTGTAGGTTCTGTAGAAATGAAGGTGGGGGAAACAACCTACCAGGTCAAATTTCAGAAGGGGCTTGGTGGGCAGCACCTTTCCAGACACAGATTGTTGGCAGGAAATCTCACAAAGATGTGCCTGGACCCTCTCTGGTGGGCTCCGTTTCGATATATCCTGGGCCTTCACAAAGTAGCTAATATCCCTTTTCTGATATTGTAGCAATTGTTGTACATTGTTTCTCTATAGACCATAAAAACAATATGCAAATAAGTTGCAGTTTAAGCACACTACATATGGCACAACTAAAACTAAGCATTTCAAGTTCAGTTTATTGCAGTTAAAGAAAAGCAGATGAGAGGAACCCAAGGAAAAAGAAAATGCTATGAACAGAATTATCTTTCCCACTTAAATAAATGTTAAAATCATTTTGGCTGAATTGTGCCAATATTCTTCTTCTCAGATATACAAATTAATGGTTAAATGTCATTGCTTTCAGGGCTGGTTTAAATGGCTCTTCCCTTTTTTAATATGCCCTCTTTATTTTTCCTCAAGTCAACTAACAACCAATTAACAGCTTACTCAAACACTAATCCTTGGATGTTTAAAAAGCATTATTTCTGTCTAAGAGACCTGGCTGCAATCCAGAAACCAGTACATTTATTTGTTTCAGCTCTTAAAATCTTCATTCATCTAGAGCATGGAAACCAGTATGCATTTTCCAATCTGGCTGTGTGGATTTTATTTCAGTCATTAACCAAATTTGTGTTTTGCTTTCTTTATTTGACACAGGCTCTATTGGTGCATACCTTAACTGTTTCACGCACAGATTATTTCAATAGTCTCTTGGCAGGGTTTTTCGTGATCTTAGACAGACCAGAACAATGACATTCAGGCTATTTTGGATCCTATGTGTTTTTTTTCAGGATTCATTGCCCAGCAGGGGTTTTTATTGGCTCCTAAGAATAGCCAGAATCGGTTTTAAACAACAAATGTTCATAGCTAAAGTTTTCTGGTTCATGAGTGTTTGCAGAGGATGAGAGGAAAGGAGGGAGAAGAGGAACAAGTGATCAAATGCATATCACTATGCAGCAAAGCAAATTTGCTTTGCAAATTCCATTGTGACATTGCAATAGGTAATAGTTTGTCATCAGTGGTAATGAACTTCCTAATACCAACAGGAACATCTTCCTACAAACCTCTTGATTTATTAACATCCCCCTAAAAACCTCTTGACTTATTATGTTCTCTGGGCAGGTTTTTCTTTCTGTTGCTTCAGAATTATTTAATTAGAATGTTAGTTTAACTAGAAGGCTTTGATTATCCCACCTTGCACACATTAGGATTGGAAGTTTCAAGGTTAATTCCCTTTTTAATGGAAATTCTGGATATATTTGCACTTGGCTGTACCGTAGGGTATTGTTAATATGAACGCTTGCAGTGGTTAGTGTGTATTAGCCAAATATATTTCTTTAATTGGCAGGTTGTTAAATTTTGAATTCTTTGGGGAATGACATTTTTGTAATTACTGTGTTTCTCTGACTTGTGCCGCAGGTTGGAAAAGACATATAGTATATAAATATTATAAATAATAACTACCGAGAAAAACATTAAAATCATTTTTAATGGTATCCAATTAAATATACTTAGACATTGGTGCAAAAGTTGTTCATATCCTGGAAGTATACAGTAGCAAATTATTGATAACAAGAAAACTACACAGATATGACCATACAGACACTTGAAGCTGAGCTTGACTCAAGGGAATATTTGACTTTACTTTTACTTCAACTATATAAAACCCACCTTGGGTGTGGTTAAATTTTGTGGCTGTTTGGCTAGTTTTTTACTGAGGAATGTTGCCGTATGAACATGATTAGATTCAGATGAACTGGAAGGCCTTGTTTGACTCACTGACCTGCAACACAAACACGCTCATTAAAAAATAGCTATGCTTGGAAAATACAACGTCAGGGTTATAGTTTGATATAATGCTCCTTTATCTTTATTTTCTTTAGTAACAGTGACTGTAAAATCCATCCAATACTATTGCAAGAATAAAAATATTGATTTTTTGTTGTTTAGAACCACTAGTCTGTTAAATTAGCTCTGGCAATCTGTGGAAATGCTGCTTTATAGCCCCCAAGAGATACTTCTAATGAAGCTGGTGTTTAAGAAGTAATGACCTTTGCTATGGATATTGTGCTTCATTCAGTAGGCTAGAGACAAAAGGCTACTTCCAATCTTTCAATATTTCAAGCAGAGCAAATGAAGGCAAACTCCTTTTACTTTTTAATTGTTTAATACAAAACAAAATGAGAAACAACAAGAACATCAGAAAGCAGTGTGATCTTGATTTAGTGCCAGAAAAACCCCCAAATAATTTATGTTCATGACAGATACAGTATTTCACCTCCTCTTTCTAATGTGCCTACATTATACAAAACAACTACAATTAAGTTATCTATTATAAAAATGATATCAACCAAAAGATAGCAAAGATAAGCAAACAAGTTTAACTACAATTTTATTTCAAATATTATATAAGCTTTTCAATGTCTTAAGCCTTGCTATTCTGTTCCATGAAATAGCAACTGAAAAGCCTTTCAGTTTGCTCAGGTAATTTCTTTCATCATTGGTAGGACAAGAAAGTTTTATTACTTGAGATGAATGAATAGGAGAAAATAACCCCTCCAATATCTTGTCCATTTTAAGTATTAAAAGAAACAACATCTCCAGTCCCACTCAGTAATAGATTGTCAACTGGTTCAGATACAGCAAAATAAGCATATGAACTCCCTGACAAATACAAATACTGAGTTTAATATTTATATGCTTTAATTATGCTTATTGTTACGCTTTATTTTGTATCTTGTTGATCACCTTGGTAGAATACAAAGGTGGGATATCAATCAAATTAATAAAATATTATTTCTTAAGAGGGATTTTCCTGGATGAGGAAGGAAGAGGTTAATTCCCTACTCCGTACCAGCTCCAATCTCATTAGGATTACTTTTCCCAGATGATGCCTTTACATTTTCTTAAAAGAAGAAATCCAACATGAGAGACACGGTGCCTTATTGCTGGCAAAAACCAGCTTTTATTCTGGTGAAGGACACAGTTCTGCAGAGATACTGCACTAAAGGGTCAAATGCTAGTGATTGGTGGGGCTAAAGCAAATAGTTGATGGAGCTAGAATGCAAAGTGATGAGGCTAACTTTTATTTCTCTTTTTCCATCTCCTCCTCCTCCCAAGCAATAGTGCAAGGGAAGAGAGGAAAAAAAGACTTTTATCTAAAGTGTCTAAGAATTTTGACTGCGACATGTGATTTTATACTGCAGGCCACCCATTCCTGCTCTGGGGGGATCTTCAGTGTTTTTAATTCCTCTAATAACTCCTCATGTTGTTTCTATTTTGAACTAATAGCACCCCCCTTGTCCTTTGACACACACTACACTAGTTCAATTTCATATATAAATAGAACAAATTATACATTCAGGCAGAACCTTACATCTGACTGAATAAACTGATGTTTCATTGCAATAAATGATACTAATGAAAGAATATACTGTAGATAATAATCATTCTGGAAGAGATTGGCCAGCAATAGGTAATGGGTAGTTTTTATGAGGTTGCAGTTTCAAAAAACAGTAATGTTAAATACCATACCTAAGTTTCTCTATTGTAGTCTTCTTATTAATAAAGAATACTCTAATCAAGATCTTCCTCTTGAAGTACACAAGTAAACTGGCCGCCAGAAGGCACAGGATGGTTATAAGTATTGCAATTAAGCTTCTGTTATCTAAAACAAACAAACCAATAATCCTTATTTAAAAAGAAGGTTAAATCAAAGACCACTTAGGCTTTTTGGTAGCAGTATTCCAAAACCACAATCATGCACATACACACACAAACAAAGTACTACTGAGGACCGATTTTGAAATTAGACAAAGGGCATGGTTACAGACATTCCGTGCTTTCATCTTCTATGGCTCAAATAATGTAGCAATGAATACATTAGATTTCCCTAGGGCGATAGTCTTACCTTAGTAGGGATCATTATTCCTTATTGACCACTCTGGTTGAGATTATAAAAGCAGAGGTCTGACACATCTGTAGAGCCCCACTTGGGAAAAATTAAGCAAAGTTGGGCAAAATATATGGGGAAATTAAGATCACGTTACTTTTTGACAAGAAATTGCCCTGTCTTTCTAGAACTGATATACTTTTATCACTTTTTTGTGCATATGATATAACTATTAAATAGGTACTGACAAGAGATTGTGTGCATGTTTCTGGGTGTGTGAGGAAGGAAGGAAGGAAGGAAGGAAGGAAGGAAGGAAGGAAGGAAGGAAGGAAGGAAGGAGGGAAGGACTCATTTAATTACCACAACTGGAACTAGCAACTCCATCGCTTTATTCATGATGTGACAGTTAAGCAACACATCACATGATTGCAACGTGTAATTTTACTGCCAGCCTTTCTACTGACTCTGCTGTCAAAATCTGGTTGTGAAGTATACAAATGGTGATCACATGACACAGGGGAGAACATTTTCATTTTCCCAAGCTTTTTAATCATATTTTAATTCACATTGTTTTAAATATGATAACCACCTTGCTTCTGCCTAGTTTATATGGCATCTTTATTTTATTATTTTATTGGATATATATTGGATACTCAATGTATCATTTTAACTTTTTAGTGTGTTTATGGTAAACTGCCTGAAGAGTTTCAGCTATTGAGCAGTTTAAGAAGTTTTATATAAATGAAACTTTTGCACAGAACAGTGGATTCCTACCTCTATTTAAAACTAAAAACATTTTGTGTCTACTTATTTTTAATTTACATTTACTTAAGTAGCAATAGTACTTAGACTTATATACCACTTCCTGGTGATTTACAGCACTCTCTGGGCAGTTTACAATATCAGCATATTGCTCCCAACAATCTGGGTCCTCATTTTACTGCCCATAGAAGGATGGAAGGCTGAGTCAACATTGAACTCCTGGCTGTGGGCAGAGATAGCCTACAATACTGCATTCCAACCACTGCACCACCACAGGCATAAACTAAGATACTGTAGTATCTTTCCTGTGATCTCTCCTTCCAAGCAAAACTAAACTCACTTTAGGATAAATAACCCTTGAATGTTTCTGTGCCCTTCTGTTGAAGGCTGAGACTTACATTTCCGGCAAACAGCAGATACTACTACTCTTCTATCTGATGACAGGACAGGAAAAATGGAAGACATCAGACATACCTAAATTTCTGATGCCATTTCTTACTCTCTTCCCATCCTGCACCCATTTCTTTGTTGGCATGTGTGACAGGACAGATTGTCTTTCCTTGACCTCCAGGATAAATTGAAACCAATGCGGAAAAGATCAATATAATGTACCAAAATCATATTTAAATTACTGGGAAAGAGATTGAGCAGAATATGCTTAGCATTAATGTGATCATATCCATGGAGTTTATTAAGTTTATTTGTTATGATAAAGAGGCTTCAAATGAAAAAGCAGAATGCAAAGACATAAGCACATCCAAACTTCACAGCATTGTTACTTGGTTTTATATAGTCAGTAGGAATGCTGCTGAATGTATTGTAAGTAATATTGAACTGTGACTAGATTCACTCATTTAACTCCTGGACTTCTTCTTTTTTTTCTATTATAATTCCAAGAAGTGATTCTTGTCTGACTAACTAACTCTTTCTTACATTTTTATTTAAACCAACTTCATCTTACTATAAAATCATTATGCCACTGTACTGATAAAAGAGATTTGTATGATGTCACAAACTCACCTCATTATCATAACTTTGCAGTAAACGCCATCTAATTTAATTTGAATAATGTTATCCATTCCACCCGCCCCCTCCAAATTGAGATCATTTCCAAACTTTAATGGTAAACACAATTGTAGCTCTGATTCTGTTCTTACATCCAAATCAACATAGAAATATCTTTACAGACTTCAAAGATTTGATTCTATATGATTTACAAGAGGAAAATCAATTCCTACTCAACTTCAGGCACAGATAAAGCAGTCTAAGATTTTCAGGCAGAATAAAAGGAAAATATATTTTAGGGGATTGCCAAAAAATGAAAGATTAATAAGGAACTAGAAAGGTTTTCCTATCAATCCATGCATATCATCTATAAAGAAGCCTGTGGAAAAATTGATGACCCTTAAATAGGCTGGAAAGGACTCTACTTTCCTTAGCAATTATTGGCTACTGCATAGACATGGCTCTTTATTTAATATATAGCTCTTTAATGAAGTTATCTTGGTGGATCACAAGATATTTAAAATTCAATAAATATATCAATGTATGTGTATCTGCTCCCACTCATGTGGATGCCTTCTAAATTCTTTTTTTTTTAATGACATTTGTGTGGGGTGATCTTCTATGAATCAATGGATCTTATTTGGATCAACTTAGTTACTACTAAGTTTCCTACTTAATCAATCATCACATCTCTGTTTGAAAAACCAAAAGAATGATGTGGGAAAAGTTAATACACTAAGGATGTCAAGATTGAAGTCAATATTGTCAAGACTGTTTTGCACTTTCACCTATATTCCACTTTGCTTGCAGCTTGAAAAAGAAAAGAGAGGAGGGGGGAATGGAATGCAAGGGTGGAGGGAACTGCAACTGAGCAACATCCGGTCCCATGAGACAGTGCTCCAACCCAAGGACATAGCGAGCAGATGGATTAGCGTGGCTCTCTGGTTCCCATAACAAAATGAACAGAAGTGATTGGTGAAAGTAATGGACTGGCCCATAGGGAAAGGGGGGAATTAACTATGCTAGCTTTTGCATGGGAAACCCAGACCTGGTTTATTGTCAACTGTCCAGATTGTGGATCCAGAAAAAGAAACTCCTGGGACATTATTTTACTAAGAGTATATACTTTACTGAATAAACTATATTGGCACAGATGAGCGCACAGTTGACAAATACTGTATGTGATTTACTAAGCCAAGACAATTTAAGATTAAGGCTTTGTTTAGGATAGCAAAGTATGCTATATGCGGATGAGGTTTAGATGACCCATTTGAGGAACCTAATGTTACACTTGCCTTTTTTCACAATGGACATAAGAAACAGTTAGATAAAACTTAAGCTTGGATTGCAAAGGATAGCATGAGGATTAGATAGCCAGTTGTACAACTTCACAGCTGGCTATGCATCCTACTCTCCCTGAACATCTCTGCAAAATATGCTACTTTACCTTGATGGAAGGATGTTTGCTATTTCCTTTAGCAAAAAGTTAACTTCATTATTCTGCAAGAACAACTCAATATTAACAATTTTCAGAGCCTACTAGGAATGAAATATTGATATTTACAATTAATATAAATGGGAGAAAATTACTTTTGCTTCTTGGAAATTCCCAAACTTTGTAGGGGGTAGCACTAACAAAAATACCCATGAAGTTTGCTCTGCAGAATTCAAATACAGCAAAATTATTTGTTTGAGGTGGAAATCTAATAGTGCTGGTTCTGAAGCACCCACCCCATGACCTCCTCACTACGAAGCAGCAGTAGTGTGTAAATATAGAGTTCAGGTTTTCCTTTGCATTCTCTCTTTCCCTTTCATTCTCTCTGTTCTTGTCCAAAACACCTTGCTAATTGTAGATACTTTTTCTGCAGGCACACATGCATGATGACCCCAAACTCTCTTCATGATAATTTGTAGGCTGGATTTCTCCTTGATTAGTTTCCATTCTTTGCTTCTTGTCCTACCTTCAGATGCTTAGAGAATAGGTTGACTTCGTTGTGGCAGCTATATCCTAGGCTTTTGCCTATATATTTCCTATAAATAAATTAACTTTCTGTTATAAGTACTGTATAAGTATAAAACTATTCTCAGGAATGCTTGGAAGCACATTTGGAATGTTTCAACTTCCAACATTATTTATTATATGAGTACTCAACTCTAGCATTGCTTTGACAATATGGGACAGTGACTATAATCCTGATCTTTCAGGACAATGGGGTTTCAAAAGCACAGCATTCAATCAGATGAAGGAATAGGTAGAGATATAGTATAGAAAATACAGTTCTTCCAAGAGTTCATCTGTGATCTTAAGTTTCCTCTCATTGTATTTCATTGCTTATACCAATCCGTCATTCATATTAAGCTGCTGTCATCTAAAAGACCCAATGTTAATACATAAAAAAGCCAACAGGACAAAGGTGAAAGATATGAAGATATGCCAGCATAAAACAATGAAATAGGAAGATTTTATTTTGGGAAGTTCTATGGAAAAGAATGAACAATCTTTTGTTACCATAAATGGGCTGAAGCACAATCAGTGAATCACAGCTATAACTACTTTTGCATTTAAAGTGAAACAAGGCACCGCCCTACACATAATTCAATTTATTTATATTCACAATGGCAGCTAGAAGTGGATATTGAGATATAAAAACTGGATCCCTAGATAATCTGATGTCCAAAGCCAATTCCTTCATTTATGTTCTCTTTACTTTTGTCTGTTTACTCACCAGATTGTCGAACTGGCCCACTGTCAATACTGCCACCAAATCCTGCCTTATCACAAAAGGGAGGACCCCAATGAGCCTCACAGTGGCAATTTTTTTTATTGTTGCAGACCTCAAAAGCAAAAGCATGTACAAATATGAGTATGAAAAGCACTACCAAAGATTTATGTCTATCATATAAATAAAATAAATAAATAAGATACAGCAATCATGCTTTGTGATGTTACAAAGACTACACCTTTTTATAGATTGTTCCAAATGTAACTCCACGTGGAACAAAAATAATTGATTCCAGAATTAAAAAGTAATTGTAAGGCCACAATATACGTGCATCCAAAATTATTTTGATAGCATTTTCTCTTCTAGAATGTCACCTTGAAGGAATGCAGACAATTTACTTTTTAGTTTGAAAGCTGGAATCCCAACCATAGTAACCAAACAATACTATCACTAGAGTGTTTGCATGCCAGAAGATTATGGAAAGGCAGGCCATTTTGCAAGGAGTTTGTTTGTCCCTAGAGTGTTACATGCATTATTGATTATAATCTTTAAGGCAGATATGTCAAACTCGCGATGTCATGAATTGGGACTGTTTTGCCATTACCGGCAATGTGGGTGTGGTTTCCGCAGCGGCCGTTTGACACCCCTGCTTTAAGGGGTCCTAGGATTTGCTCATTGCCTTAATTGCTTTCTCAGATCAATGAAGATCTACTAAATAAGTTTAAATTGCATTTAGTCTCACAAGCCTGAAGAAGTTACAACAAAAATAGGTGACCAGTGGGATCTCATCTGTGGTTTGTCCATAGATAGTTAAGTGTCTTACTTGTGAATGTTGCTGTATGCTAGAACAAAATACCATGCAAAATATTCAAACATCTGTGGCTAAGTTAAGGACTTCCTGAAGATTTTTTATAGGAATCTCCACCATTGCATTTTAGAAGGTTGACCATATCTGCTCCAGCTTGTCATATATAATTTCTATCTTGCTTATTTATCTGTAACTCTGTTTACAGTAATGGTGGATTATGGTACTTTTTATATATTTATATTTATATTGCATAGTTGATTTTCCCCCTGAACACTTCCTTGAAGACCTGAAGGACTGGCTGACTCATTAAATGTTGTAACTTCATTTTTTTTTTGTAAATCATTTTAAAAATATTTCAGTTCTGTTACATCTCCTTGGCTGATCATGCCTATCTGCCTCTGCTCCAAACAGCTGGATATATTTGAAAGAATCCTTCGCTCCAGTCTATTATGCCTGAAACATTAACAAGAGCATAAGTGAACTCATTCTAGTTTTTAAACTGCTGAATGCTAATTTTTGCAAAGATAAGGTCACCATGACCAGCAATATTGCTTTGTCAAATAAAAGCCACATTTCCTTTCTTGGGCATTGAAAGGGCTTGAAAATTGATCATTCTGGAAGCAGAGACTGAAAAAAACCGAGAGATATAGTACAAAAAATCACCGTTTTTAAGGGCTATAACCAATGAGTGATTTATTGCTCAGCTGGAGATTGACTGACTATAAAAAATTGAATCTGTAATACTTACCCCACGTCCATGACATTTTGTTGCACATTCATGAACACCAAATACACTGGTGTTTTGGCAGCGGCGATTAAGACAGATCTGTAAAGACATAAGAGCAGGCAAAAGATAATTTATGGTATAAAGACCAAGCAACTGGATTTTTTCCCCCTGTATTGTATTTCTAATTCAAGAGAGAATAGCCAATCTCTTCTGGTTATAATTTTAAACTTAAAGAGTAGATTTTGATTTAGAGAGGTATGATGAAATGTTGATGCCATCTCCTTAAATTCATCAACCAATATTGCACAATTAAATAACATAGCAAGATGCTAAGACCTAAAGGATTCTGAATGAAATAACTTGGAATATGGAACAAAGCTTCAGGTATAGAATATGTAGGAAGTATGTTGTCTGCCTTATTTACAGAACATTGTGCATACATCAATCTAATATTTTTTCTTTCAAAAATCTGTTTCTTTCCTGACTGCTGTATGTTATGTCTTTAGGACAACTGTGCCACACTGAGTATGGTGTAAGTTAAGAATATAAGGATGTAAAAAGAATCCTGTTACATCAGATCAAGGGACCCTCAGTCCAGCATTTTGTTCAGCAAATATTAGAAAGATACTGTTAATTTTCATCACGTCCTTCTCTGAAGATAATGGAAACTTTGAAATCCTATATGTGAACATCAGTACACTCTCTCTCTCTCTCTCTCTCTCTCTCTCTCTCTCTCTCTCTCTCTCTCTCTCTCTCTCTCTGTGTGTGTGTGTGTGTGTGTGTGTGTGTGTGTGTATTCAAGTCAGTTTTTGACTCCTGCATAGTTTTTGGCAACTGCATAGATTAGCGTCTGCAATTTTCTTGGCAAGATTTTTTAAAAGTGGTTTGCCATTGCCCCCTTTCTAGGCTGAGAGAAAGTCACCCAGCTAGAACTCACAGTCTCTTGGTTTCTAGCCTGGTGCTTTAACCACTAGGCGAAACTGACTCAATGAATGTCACTGTTTGTGGAAACCTAAGATAGCATTCCTCTACATGATGGAAGAGTTAGTGTACCCTTTCTCCTCCAAGAAACAGACAATGTTACTATTATATCCAACAATGGATGGAAACTAATCAAGGAGAGAAGCAACTTGAAATTAAGGAGAAACTTCCTAACAGTGGGAACAATTAACCAGTGGAACAGCTTGCCTTCAGAAGTTGTAGGTGCTCCATCACTGGAGGTTTTTAAGAAGAGACTGGACAGTCACCTATCTTAAATAGTATAGGCTCTCCTGCTTGAACAGGGGGCTGGACTAGAAGGCTGTGAGAGAGATCTTGGAGTTACAGTGGACAATCACTTAGATATGAGCCAGCAGTGTGCTGCAGCTGCCAAAAAAGCCAACACAGTGCTAGACTGCATTAACAGAGGGATAGAATCAAGATCACGTGAAGTGTTAATACCACTTTACAATGCCTTGGTAAGGCCACAATTGGAATACTGCATCCAGTTTTGGTCACTACAACGTAAAAAAGATGTTGAAACTCTAGAAAGAATACAGAGAAGAGCAACAAAGATGATTAGGAGACTGGAGGCTAAAACATATAAGGAACGGTTGCTGGAATTGGGTAAGTCTAGTTTAATGAAGAGAAGGACGAGGGGGGACATGATAGCAGTGTTCCAATATCTCAGGGGCTGCCACATAGAAGAGGGAGTCAAGCTATTCTCCAAAGCACCTGAAGGCAGGACAAGAAGCAACGGATGGAAACTAACCAAAGAGAGAAGCAACCTAAAATTAAGGAGAAATTTCCTGACAGAGCAATTAATCAATGGAACAACCTGCCTCCCGAAGTTGTGAATGCTCCAACACTGGAAATTTTTAAGAAAACACTGGACAATCATTTGTCTGAAATGGTATAGGATTTCCTGCCTGAGCAGGGGATTGGACTAGATGACCTCCAAGGTCCCTTCCAATATTATTGTTGTTGTTGTTATTATTATTATTATTATTATTACCTCCAGTGACTATGGCACTGTCCAAACTTGCATGGTCCAATTTGGGGGGGGGGGTTTGAGTGTGTAAGAGAGAAAAAAAGAGAATAGAAATAAGATAGAGAGCAAAAGTTTATCTCATGAATTACCATCTGCATGATAGAAGTGAAAAATCTGCTCTTTATCTATGTGAAGAGAAGTTAATTGTTTGAATTTAAATTTTAGAAGTCAGCAGCTTTTTACTGATGCAAACACTATCTTATCGTAGAACATACAATTATGTAATATCATGCCAAATATATTTGTCAAAGCCTTTCTCTTCAACAATAACATCTATATTAAGAGGCTTTTTTTTTTTTTAAAGGTAATGTCAAAAGCGATTTGTGATAAGATCAGCAGTGGAGTAGAAAGCAACAGTTGAAAGAAACTCCGAAATATTTAAAAATTCAAAATGGGTAATGGCAGCTTTTTATATTTTTTCAAGAGAGTTATTTCTGAAGAAAAGCCCACAACAGCTAAAATATTTCAAATGCTGCCAGAGGTTAATTTTTGTCCAACTATATATTAAGTCTATCCCACATTCCCGCCCCCAAATTAAACTGCTTTCCTTTGTAAATTAGATTAGTATGGGCTCAAACTTTAAACAGAATTGTCATTTTATTGCAGGGTTAAATTAGCATTTGCCTGAAGAAGATACATCTATCTTTTATTTATAGGGAAATGAATAACAGGGAGTAGCATGTAATCGAAGGTTCATTGTTCGTGCAATCATCATAGAGAGTTAACTTCACTATTTCACTGGAGCTGAATCACAGGGACAAAGAAAGATTGACATCCCCATAAAAGCAGACTCACAATGCAAACTAAAATGACCCACTTATAGAGTGCCTGATATATCATCAGCGTAGAGAAAAAAATTATACGGTCCAGGAATGGGTATTAGATGCCAGGTCAACAATCAGATCTACCATCATATCTGCTCTTCTTTAATTTGGGGACTTATTTCAGCAGGGCTAAAAGTCAGGCACAATTTTTATGAGCAGGCAGGGGACAAAATGAAGCAGAACAGAATACTGATGCTTAATCAGGGTAGATATTCCCTCTAAGGAAAGGGGAAATTAGGAAAGAAATGAACGGGAACCGGCTTCACAACCAATATAATATACCACTACAAACAAACCATTCAGTATCCCATGGGGCACACCAAATTGTTTGTTTTTATTTAGTTATTGCATTTATAACTCAGCAGAAAAAAACTCTCAGGGGGTCTATACTGGAGCCTCTCCTAATTTTAATATCACAAAACAGCCCTATAAACAAGGCTAAGCTAGAGGAGAGTGACAGGCCAATGGCTGGATGACATGAACCAATTCTTTATCTAGTCCTTATTGACCACACTACATTAAAGTGGCTGCTATTAAAATAAGAAAAAAGATGTATTAAAAGCAGGCAGTTGTATGGTTTAATTCAATTGATTTAAATAACTCTGGAGCTCATTGTTGGGGAAGGAGAGCAAGCCCCTCTGCCCCTCTGCATCCTTTCATGGTGCCATTCTAGATGTAGGAGCTATTGTCAGAGAGGCCCCCAGTTCATTGAAAACACAAACTAATATAAAGAAGAAAAAAGAAAAAGATGAAAGAAAAAGAAAAAAAAGTTTACATTGCGTTATGATCTCAAAGATAATTTTTATAAAAGGATGTGTTACTGGTACATGACTCCAGATAAATTATCTAGAATGTATAAAGGCATTTCAAATGTACATTGAAAATGTGAACATCATGAAGGGCCATTTATCATGCTGGGTGGATGAATAAAAAACCCAGATATTTTGGTTTCAAATATATACTTGGATATAGAGGATTTTAAATATCAATATTCAACTGAAGCTAGACATTTTCTTTTAAGGATTAATATGAGATACTGCACGTGCCCTTTTCCTTTCCCTGTTCTCCTTGTAGGATACTGATGAAGGTATTTTATGGCTACTCGTGTGCGCAACTAAATTGGAATCTCTACCAAAAAGTAGATCAGATTGCATTTTTCTAGATAAATATATAGTCTTAAGACCTCTAGTTTTCCTTGCTTGTCCCTCATATTCTGGATATATGGATAAAGGCCATGAAAGCCTCAGTTCATCAAACTTGAATTGTCTCTTTTTTTAATTATATGTTCTTTACTGAGTGCTTCCACATCCTGCTACTCCTCCCTGTCTCAGTCGCTGGGCAAGTAGTATTGTTAAGTTCTCATCTCCTTCCTGATAGTATTTACTCAATAATGCTCTGAATCAAGCTCATCTCTTGCCAGAAATCCCTCATTTTTAAAATAAAGGACTTCTGGGAAGAGATGAGCTTGATTCAGAGCATTATTGACTAAATACTATCAGGGAGGAGATGAGAATTCAGCAATACTACTTCAATATTAGAGAATCCAAACTATTTCTATTGGCGCCATCTATGTAGCCAGTTTTCATTTCTTTATTTTTTTATATGCAAGCCACGCTCTTTAATAGAAGAAATAGATGCTTGGCCCATATCTCTTTTGTTCAGTATTTCATAACCCCATTTGGTATGTTTAAAGATGTGTCTGCTGTGTCATTTATTTCCATGAGTACCAATAAAAAGGAATAATTATCAGTGAGCTAAGGAGTCTTGGGAACCTTCCCATTCATCCAGCCATCAAGGAGACTCTTCTTAGAATATTATCAGGCTTACGGATCATTGCTTCAATCTCTCTGAGTAGGGAATCTCACTTCCACACATGACATCCTCATCTTCAGGGCAGAGGCTAACATTCTTTCCCTTGTACACCATGCAAGATCTTCCTTGAGTCCTCTGGTGTTTTATAGCAATAGCACTTGGACTTATATACCGTTTCACAGTGCTTTACAGCTCTCTCTAAGCGGTTTATAGAGTCAGCATATTGACCCCAACAATCTGGGTCTTCATTTTACTGACCTTGAAAGGATGGAAGCCTGAGTCAACCTTGAGCCGGTGAGGATTAAAGCCCGGCAGTCAGCAGAATTAGCCTGCAATACTGCATTCTAATCACTGCACCACCCTGAGGAGTCTATGGTGGCTATTCTTCATCCAGAGATACATGGGTGGTTTAATGGTATTCTGAACCCCCTGCT